AGGTTACATTTAAAATACAGGGTGCTTGGAATCACTTTTAATGCGGCAATTACTTCGTCATATTTGCACATCTTTTGGTACAAAGTCCATATTCCGTGCAGCGACCGCTACTTCCTGCTGCTCTCACAACTCCTCACCGCCTGTATAAATACTTCTAAATAAATGCGCTTCAATGAGCAAAGTACAGTCATCCGCGGTGCTGACGACTTCTCTTTTTAATATACAAACCACTAAATGGTTTACAAAAATAGGATTTGGCTGAAATAGGCTGTTATTACTGCAGTAGATGAGGTGTTCAGGTGTTTCTTACTGCAGTAGATGAGGTGTTCAGGTGTTTCTTACTGCAGTAGATGATGTGTTCAGGTGTTTCTTACTGCAGTAGATGAGGTGTTCAGGTTCCTCTTACTGCAGTAGATGAGGTGTTCAGGTTCCTCTTACTGCAGTAGATGAGGTGTTCAGGTGTTTCTTACTGCCGTAGATGAGGTGTTCAGGTGTTTCTTACTGCAGTAGATGAGGTGTTCAGGTTCCTCTTACTGCAGTAGATGAGGTGTTCGGGTGTTTCTTACTGCCGTACATGAGGTCTTCAGGCGTTTCTTACTGCAGTAGATGAGGTGTTCAGGTGTTTCTTACTGCAGTAGATGATGTGTTCAGGTGTTTCTTACTGCAGTAGATGAGGTGTTCAGATTCCTCTTACTGCAGTAGATGAGGTGTTCAGGTTCCTCTTACTGCAGTAGATGAGGTGTTCAGGTGTTTCTTACTGCCGTAGATGAGGTGTTCAGGTGTTTCTTACTGCAGTAGATGAGGTGTTCAGGTTCCTCTTACTGCAGTAGATGATGTGTTCAGGTGTTTCTTACTGCCGTACATGAGGTCTTCAGGCGTTTCTTACTGCAGTAGATGATGTGTTCAGGTGTTTCTTACTGCAGTACATGAGGTCTTCAGGTTCCTCTTACTGCAGTAGATGAGGTGTTCAGGTGTTTCTTACTGCAGTAGATGAGGTGTTCAGGTGTTTCTTACTGCAGTAGATGATGTGTTCAGGTGTTTCTTACTGCAGTAGATGAGGTGTTCAGGTTCCTCTTACTGCAGTAGATGAGGTGTTCAGGTTCCTCTTACTGCAGTAGATGAGGTGTTCAGGTGTTTCTTACTGCCGTAGATGAGGTGTTCAGGTGTTTCTTACTGCAGTAGATGATGTGTTCAGGTGTTTCTTAATGCAGTAGATGAGGTCTTCAGGTGTTTCTTACTGCAGTAGATGATGTGTTCAGGTGTTTCTTACTGCAGTAGATGATGTGTTCAGGTGTTTCTTACTGCAGTAGATGAGGTGTTCAGGTGTTTCTTACTGCAGTAGATGAGGTCTTCAGGTGTTTCTTACTGCAGTAGATGATGTGTTCAGGTGTTTCTTACTGCAGTAGATGATGTGTTCAGGTGTTTCTTACTGCAGTAGATGATGTGTTCAGGTGTTTCTTAATGCAGTAGATGATGTGTTCAGGTGTTTCTTAATGCAGTAGATGATGTGTTCAGGTGTTTCTTAATGCAGTAGATGAGGTCTTCAGGTGTTTCTTACTGCAGTAGATGATGTGTTCAGGTGTTTCTTACTGCAGTAGATGATGTGTTCAGGTGTTTCTTACTGCAGTAGATGATGTGTTCAGGTGTTTCTTAATGCAGTAGATGAGGTCTTCAGGTGTTTCTTACTGCAGTAGGTGATGTGTTCAGGTGTTTCTTACTGCAGTAGATGAGGTCTTCAGGTGTTTCTTACTGCAGTAGATGAGGTGTTCAGGTCTTTCTTACTGCAGTAGATGAGGTGTTCAGGTTCTTCTTACTGCAGTAGATGATGTGTTCAGGTTCTTCTTACTGCAGTAGATGATGTGTTCAGGTTCTTCTTACTGCAGTAGATGATGTGTTCAGGTTCTTCTTACTGCAGTAGTGAGGTCTTCAGGTGTTTCTTACTGCAGTAGGTGATGTGTTCAGGTGTTTCTTACTGCAGTAGATGATGTGTTCAGGTTCTTCTGTAACATGTTGCCCCCCCCCACTGTCTAAAATCCTTCAGCCTGCTTACTGATGCACATCTAATGGCAGCAGTTAAGACAAGAGAACTGCTGTGTTCAAATTGGCAGAATGAAATCTTCAATTCCTTCGTCCTCCGCCAAGCCAGACAGTATTCCCCGCCCTCTCCTCCCCTCCTTCAGTTTCTCTGCATCTTTTTCCTCCCTTTTCCTTTTTTCCCATTGGGAACAGCTTACTGCAGTATCCTTAAAGTCCCTGCATGTGTCCTGGGTTGTCCTCTCTTACGCGCACCGCGGCGATGTGGAGCTCTGTCGGCTCAGGGTGGGTGCACACTTTTGATGTGGGGAGCGGGAGGAGGGGGGCGCAGGCAGACGCTATGATGTCGCTTTATGCGCTCCTTTCAGTGGTTACCCTCGGCATCCACTGCTGTCATCAAATTGAAAAGGGCTCCTTTCCCCCCCCATTTTTATTGTTTGGAGCCTGGAACAGTGTGCATGAGGCTGGAAAAAAACAAAACAAAAGAGGCAAGAATAAAAAAAATCTGTATCGCCGCAAAAGCAGTGTGCAAGCTGGCGCATTGTCCTAATGTGACCCACTCCGGCTCATGCACGCGAAAGCAGAGACTGTCAGGCTAGAAGGGAGGTGTGTGTGTGTGTGTGTGTGTGTGTGTGTGTGTGTGTGTGTGTGTGTGTGTGTGTGTGTGTGTGTGTGTGTGTGTGTGTGTGTGTGTGTTTTTTTGTGTGGTGGTAATTTGTTTGAATCTTTGTATAAACATGCATGACAATTTTTATATATATGTTTGCACATTATTCTCTATATGTTTAAAGCGTAAAACCTGTGCCTGACACACACAAACTCTCTCTGTCACACACACAACACACAGTTGCTGTGGGAGGAGGAATCGTCCCCTCATATTCCATCCTCATCACCATGTTCTTTTGTGGCAGTTGCGCAATGCAAGTTAATCCTATTATTGAAATTTCAAAATGCCGCCTGAGGGGAGCCTGCTCAATAGGTCCCTTCTATGCGAGGCCCGTCGTGGGCCTGCTTTCATCTTTAATGGAGTTCAATTCCATCAACATATTAATCCCAAGGCCACGATAAACAAAGCTCACCAAACAGACAAATGCAATTCAATCTGCTCCGGCACACGAACGCATTTCCTTATAACTCACATTTTATTAGCCCACACATTTAATGTTCTACTTTCCCAGACATTCTTCTTCATTTTTTAGTTTCTCTTTCTTCATAAAAGCTTTATCCCCGAACAGTCCCAGTGTGAAGGAGAGTGCTAATCGATGAATGATTTAGTCTTTTAAATGTTCTTATTTATTCAACCAACTATATCTGGAGAGAAAATGAATGAAAGAAAGAATGTATGTATCAGAAAGAAATGAATTCTTCCTGATACATGATCAAAATGACTCTTCAGTCTTTTTTCTTGTTTTTTCTTATTAATGCTCCCAAAAGACATTTCCTTTTTTGTCTTTTTTTTTTTAAAATGTCCTCTCCCTTCCTGATGCCAAATATTGAAATAGTTTTCCTTATAGATGTATTTTCCTTGGAGCAGCTGTGACGTTTCTCTTGAGGAACAGCAGCCTGCAGCATTGTCATCGGCTCGACTCTCCTGTGCATTTTCATCCTTTTCCTTTTCCTGTCTGATTTACAGATGAGTGCTTAAAGTTCTAATTACATTCATGTTCTTACTTTTTTTTCCACCGGCTGCACATTTTTCGGATCCAATCTCATTCCTGCTGTTGCTGTAATGAATTCACCTGCTTGAAGCATAATGTTGACACCAACATAACACTTTCAAACCTCCCAAAACAAATAATATACTTGTCGCATTGGTCATCAAACATTATTTCACAAAATCTGTTTTTTGCCCTTATTTTGAAAAAAGAAAATTCCTATCAAGCTTAATTTAAGGCTAAAAGAAAAAATGACATGCCTCGGTGGATACTCCCTTTACCCCTTTTTAAATCAAATTATTCATAATTACTGCCACTCATGATCATGGGTCTTTGCTTAGCCTACTTCCTGTTTTTGGTTTGCAGAGGAGGCCTGAGAGATGCAGCCACAGAACAAGAACCAGATCCAGGCCGAAGCCTTTTTATCTGTTCCTATAACGCGGAGGGCAGATAAAGGTCAGATTAAAGATTAAAGTACCTTTCACTACCGATACTGAAAGCTCAATACTGGAAATATATAACGCTCAGGCTGATGTGTCTGATTACATCACTCTGTGATGCTGTTGTGTGAGCAGCGAACCCTCCATTCATATTCGGGAATCAAAACCATGAAAATGAACTACTGCATTCAAACATGCATGTCATCACGCAACAAACAAAAAAGCAAAACACTTGTTAGCGATGTAATCGGTCCTTGTAAATTGAGCTCATGGTGACACACGGCGCTCCTCAACATGACAGCTTAAGGCCGGCGCGTGCTTCTGCGTCTGCGTCGGCGCACTCGTTTCAATTCATGGTTCTAAAGTCTTGCGTGTGTTGCAGAGCAATTTACCGCCAGAACATCAGGCGGAGTGACGTGTTTTTGTCTAAAACGACCTAGAGGGTCACGTCTATTTATTGATTTGTTTCTTTATTTATCATAGACTTTATTGCCCCGTGCATCGACACTGCTGCTTTTCATCGCGGACACATTTGTCCCGTATTTTCCTCCACAACTTTGCGCACCTCTCGACCGCAAACCGGCGTTTGCGGCGATCTCGCTCCGTGAATCCAACCGGCTGCTACAACCCGCCAATGACGACTCGTATAAGCGCTCATGTTTAGCCATTCCTTCCGACAAAAGTAGGTAAAGCAAGGGACACGCAAGGGTGTCTTGCGTCTGCGTCGCTCTGAAAACGCAGAAGCATAAACTGTGTAGAATTTACATCTGAGGAAAAGAAACCCAATTGCATTACTGACTCTGTGTTCTCTGTAATGTAGTAAAAAAGAAAATACTCAACGGAATCCCCCCCCCCCCGTCCTCCTTCACAGCCATGGACCCTTTTTGATCTTTTCCCTGCATTGTGAATCATCAAAGACGAGCACATTACATTGTTAAAAAGGAAGAACCCCAAAGGACGCAGTGGACTCAAGAATTCCACCGGCAGTGGATTAGAGGGAGCTCCGGGTTGAAGCTCGAGGCCAGGTAACATGATATTTCCTCCCGTGATTTACAGTGACCACAGTCAACCACAAGGTCGACTGCTGCCAAATTACCAACCTAATTACAGACAATATGTTTTATTGTCGTAATCACAGCCCAACTCACCCTGCTTCACTTTCCTTTCATCATTCAGTCACTTCTGCCTCAACATTTCCCCCCGTTTGCTGTTTAAAAAACATGCAAACACAAGCGTGTCTCGTTTATGCTTCTATCTGATGGCGGCAGCCGCAGTTATGTAGGCCATTTGAGTAATTGGTTTACCTGCAGCGCTTTCAGAAAACCCACAGAGGAACGTCAACAACAACTACACCACGCAGGTCTGAACCGCCGGAGCGCGGCAGCGTGCACTGCAGAGAAGACGATCCGGGCGATTGTGCCCAAACCGAGCCGCCGTTCGCTGATACGAATATTTCCGACCATGTTCTTGCACGTTGCACTTTCCAGAGCACAAGATCCGAGGCGAGTTTACAGACGCGTCTGCGAGCCCCGCCCGCCCGGCCCTGATTCTTTGGGAGTTAGTTGTGGAATCCTCGGTACTGTCGCACTTCACCCCGACCCCCCCCCCCCACACACACACACCCTGGAGGAGAACCCGGAGGGTCTTTGACTTCTCCGGGCCCGGATGCCATTTTCGCTCACTCTCCCTCGGCCTGAACCTTTCGTGCTCTCGGCTCACTGCACTGGCAAGGATGGAGACTAACAGCCAAGGTGGATGCTGGGAACGTGCGTCACGATTTCAAATATAACTCAAATCGCCATGGAAACTGAGTGAGACGGGATCAGAGGGTGTTGTTGTTTTTTTTGTTTTTGTTTTCTCTTTGTCTCCCTTCACCAAAATACATCCACACACATTTAACAGCATCGCAATCTGAAATGTTTTAGTACTGCATCGTAGATTTAGGGGGGTTGTCGAGTAAAGTTGTCTCCTGTCATTCGCTTTGTGGGCTTAGCGACTCCATTGACGATGATGTCATTGTGAGATTGGGAAGGGCTTTTAAACCAGTGTTAAGCCACTGATCCAAATCCACCACCGAAGATTCGCCTTTCAAAGAGTCAAATCCGCCGCATCGGCGTTCACAAAACATAAGCACAAAAGTCAAATGCCGTCCATAATAGCAGCTGCTTGTATCGTTGTGTTGCGTGTTTTATATTGTGACATGGTGACTTTTGTGCGCTGATATGAACAGCTCTCTTTATTGTGCCGGAGGGAAAAGGATTCGTGCATTTCGTTGTTTGTTCTTTCGTAATTTTGGGTCAACTTCAGGAGGTCCGCTCTTCGCAGAATGAATTTGGAAGCGCATTCTGTTGCTTCTGTTAAGTGTTTCTCACACCCCAATATGATGCATTTAAAAACCACTGTGTGTGCGTCTGCATCGGATTCTGAAAGGGGGCCTTGTGGAGTTTTAAGTGCAGCACTAATCACAGACATGGTGGCATTTTGTTCGACAAGTTTGCGGTCTTGGCTTATTGCATCATATACGTGTTGATGAGTGGGAAAGTGTGTGGTAGGATTGTGTAGCATATTTGTTCTAAAGCCGTGTGTGTCAAACAACAATCCAGACGATGGAGCGCCGTCGAGTCATCTGCGCGCACGTGTGTGTGTGTGTGTGTGTGTGTGTGTGTGTGTGTGTGTGTGCCCCCCCGAGTGCCCATTAAGTCTGATTACACGTGATTGCTCCCTGTTGGAGATGACCAGCCCACTAATGGCACAAACAAATGCTTTGCTTTCTCACTCTCGCAGGCGAATCCCCCCCCCCCCCCCCCCCCCGTCCTTTTATTCTCCTTCTTCTTTCTTAACTCCAATGTTTTTTTGGCAAAACCCTCGTCTCCGATTCCAAGCCAAGCGTTTCTGCTTCTCTGCACATGTTGTTTTGGAGAAGTTGTTATCAATTTAACAACATTTCCTGCTAAGATGCTGTGTGTGTGTGTGTGTGTGTGTGTGACGCACACACACACACACACGGACAATACGGTTTGAACCTATTTGAGGGTCCGAGAGGGGAAAGAAAGTGCTCCCACTGGCATTCCTCCGCCCCTTCAGTATTTATGGTGGTAACCACACGTGTCCACTACCGGAGGTCACGTTAAAGCCACTGTGGGAGTTGCTGTGTTGAGGGTTGTGTTGCATGTAGGTCATCTTAGCCGGATGTAGTGATCCAACAACATCCTGTCGCTCGCACTCGCCCCACTGGGCATAAAAAGCACGTGTGTTCTTTATCTAATGTCCCTCGACCAGCGAGAAGCTTTTAGATTGAGCGATTGTTTTCTAGCCTTCCAGAGGACAAACTGTTTTTCTGTAGCTTTGCTGCCATTTTCATCTCAACTGCTCATTAGCTTGACTCTGCTCTCTCTCTCTCTCTCTGTGTGCATGTGTGTGTGCGTGTGTATGCGTGTGCGTGTGTATGTGCGTGCGTGTGCGTGTAGGTGTTTCTCTCGGGGAGCTCAGCAGCTCCTCTGCGCTGCCGGGAGTCCAGACATCACCCACTTCCTCTGGTAAGACCTTTACGCTCAATTCCATAGACATCCTGCTAATACACCGTTTCTCCCCACCAGAACCCCCTCCCCCCCCCACACACACACCCTCCGCTGCGAACAACACACACACACACACATGGGAAATCAGCATCTAGCAGCGGCGAGTGGTGAATGTAATGAAGCTGAAATCCTGGTACTGATCCAGGCTAAATCATCGTGTGCAGACTGCGGATCTGTCTGCTCTGTTTCTCGTCTTCGGGGTTGACAGCAGCAGCCGGTGCACGTTGTCTCACAGGGCCGGCTTAATTCATCATTTTTATTTATTTGAAACACTTGAAGGACTTGGCCTCCATGTCATCTCGGATCTGACCTCTGGGTCCGTTCAGCGGCCGTGTGTTGCAGCTTTCTGGTGGGAAAATCTCACGGCTTTCGTCATGAATCTGAATTGTGTCCGTTTTCAGAGAAAACGAAGGGGGGGAGTCAAGGGGAAATTTAACTTCTACAATTCAAAGACGACTCACTCGGCTGACGGAAGATTTCGAGGAGCTATTAAATGAGATTAATAGTCAGGAATTAAACTGGCTACTCCCCCACAGTTAGCATAACGGCTAACAATATCGTTAGTCATTATTGTAATGGCCGATGTCCTGGTGATTTAGCTGCAACGGCACTGTATACAGCTGAAATGCAGTGACTTAGTGTATGACACTGTTGCATAAGAATATTATCCAGAAGAGGAAATATCTATTATTGGACTGGCACATGCTGGCGTTCTGCTCTGCAAACTGCAATCAAACGGTTTGACCCCCACGTGGTGCCGCAGAACGTCACGTCGGCCGTAAAGAGTTTATTCCCCTACAGGCGTCCGTGCAGGCCAAACCATCGCTTCTTTTAAACAGCTGATTCAACCTCCCCTGTGATTGATTTTCATGTCAGCGGACCCACAAACGACAACGTGAAATTGTTTTTCGAGCGTGGAAGGATGACAGCGGCTGCACTCACAGGCACGGCCCCGCCGGGCTGGAGCTCTCGACAGAGGTCGGCCTTGTTTGCGGCGAGGAGGGACGTGCATGTGACGGCACCCAAAAGGCCTCAGTCTGCACACGTAAAAGAATAAAATGTTCCCCCCCGCCGGGTGTTTTTTTTTTAATGGCCGCCACGCCACCGATGCATTTATCGGGGACGCAGTCGTCCCGCTCGGGCGTCCGGTGAGGGATCGGGCTCATGACTGTGCACGTGGCAGCGGGAACACCGCCACCACCCCCCCCACCCCCCCTCTGTCTCGGCCCTGTTGTTGTTAATGTAATATTTTAAATGCGCCGCGGACTCCCCCGCTCCGCTGATTTGCCCATCAGCTCCAATTCTTTATTGAAAACACCATCTGCTGTCCTTTTCGTGATACCGGTTGCCGCGGCGACGCACCTGTATCACGTTGCACGGCGTGATACAGCTTCGTAAATTAAGTATCAGGTGGCTCCCGTTGGAACGTTTGGGCGGATCAAGATCGACTCTTGTCTGAACGCGACGCCCCCCAAATAAAAATGCATGTCGCTCGAAGCCGGGAGCCGGTTGTTTACTCCTCGTGGCGGTCGGGATCGTCACTGGAGACGGTTACGGCGGCTGATATTTAGACTCCGATGAGGCCCCCGATGAACAGCGTCATTCTGTGTGGTGAATCGTGTTCATGCAGGAGCCCTGCAGCACACAGGGGCCCCACATCTACTGTCTATTTTCTAATCTAATACCTTTTTTTGTAAGCTAGGGAGACATTAATTATTAAACATAACACTGTTCTCCAAATGTTGTCTATTTGGACACTGCACAGAACTTCAGTGTTTCCATGTGTCGGCATCACATTTTTTATTTGGGTTCTGCTGTAACGTTGCCAGACACTTCTCGTAAAAATCTAAACACCTTTTTTAATTATTTTTTTTGGACCTACATTGCGGCGTGTTCTCGCTCTGCACCACACCGATTTTGGTTGTCCGCATTCCTTGGACACAAACACGCGAAAAACGGTCCAGATTGAAAAAAAACGAAAGCCCACGTGACGGACGTTCACATCTCTGGCTTCATCGCGCAAGGCGCACTTCGTACACAGCGACGACCTCGACGTTTCCTCTGTTCTAGCGTCTGCAGAAATGTTCACCTACTAAAGAGTCCAAAGAAAATGTCTCGAGGCGGAATGTTTTCCTTGTGGTGGGAAACCCTGTTTACGCCCGGCGTCACCGCGTGCGCCTCCTCTTCAACCGCACTCGCCAAACACTTATGAGAAGAGGCCTCGCTGAGATTCTGCCGGTAGTTGTGTGTGCGTGAACACGGTGGGCGGCACCTTTTGATCCCGTCTTTTTGCGTTGGCCTCCTCTTTCTCGAGGGAATAATCCTCACCCTGCGTTGGGAAACGCTGTTGGACTTTGAAAGCGAATGTGTCTTTCGTTACCGTAATGTCAGACTCCAAGAACGTCGAGTTCTCTCCCGCACTTCCTGTGTCGCTCGGCTTCCCTTCGTCCCTTCCCTCGCCCTGCAGGGTTCATGGCGGAAAAAAGACTTTATGGGACGGCAGCTGACATTTAAACGAGAAACAGGCGGAAGCTGTTTAGCCGAGAGACGGCCGACGGTCTTAATCCACGATGACAAACCGCGCATTCAGCTGATCCGCTGCACGCTGTGATCCACCGGCGTGGCCAAAGGAACGTCGACGCCATGTTCATTTTGCATAGATATCACAACGTCAGCGCGCTTTACGTCTCGCTGCGATGCTGAGCGCGTCGCGAGTAGCATCAACCCTGCTCGCTGATTTCAGTTTGCACTCATTCCACACACATGGCGACGTTTTACTCGCCGCAGCGTCACGCGGCGCCTCTCGTCATTCAGGATGTGCTGGTTGTTGTGGAGGAGAAATTAAAAAAAAATGGGCAGAGAAGGAAGCGCTCGCCCACAGTGCCGCTTCCGTCTGCAACCAGAGGCACGAGACACACCCACAAGACGGTGCAGAACCCACCAGCGGACCGCCGTGTGTGTGTGTGTGTGTGTGTGTGTGTGTGTGTGTGCGCTTCTACCGTACAGCCGGACGCTTTGCTGCTTTGTCGACCCCTTAAGTCTCTGAAGTGGAAGTTTTTTACATCGTCAGATGTCAAGCTGAGCCGCCGACGTCTCGACGCAGCACTATTTAAAATCACTCTCTTACTATTTGGGCTTTTACCTTTTCTTAATGGGTGTCGCCGCGGGCGACGGAGAAAACACAGACATCCTAACTCGTCATTTAGTCCATTTTACCCCAGAAAAAAAAAAAAACCTCAACGAAGTGTTGTCTGAGTCACATTTTATATGAGTTTACGTATCCATTTGTGCTCCTACACACACACACAGCAGTAATGAATTAGTCGGGTTCTTTGCAGACACATGAAGCCGTTTAAAGCAACTGTGTTGATGTATAAAGGCGGCAGTATCTGGTTGTGAGGTTAAACTTGGGCCAACTTGAAAGCTGCTGCAGGTATCGCACACACACACACATACACACACACACACACACACACATCACTTCCATGGCTTCAGAGCAAACAGCCGGCTGCGGTATGAATTGCTCAGCACTTTCTCATTTCTTTTCCAGGTCTCCGCTTGTGTTCCGTTCAGGGAAAGTCGAGGGTAAAAACCAATATGTGCACATACAGAACAAACGGACAAAATGTGATACACGATGTCTCGCCAGGAGCGGTGTTCCTGTGTCGTCAGCGTCGGGGAGGAAACCGGTCGGGCCACTTTTTAAACTGGACTGAATATGTTCATAGGTACTTGAAGGAGATTGTGACATTTTGTAGAGCTTCCTTTTGTCCACTTTATAAATGCACAAAATATTGTAATGTTTTTTGCCAAACTGGCATGGTTAGTAAAAATAAACATCAAATGGAGGAAGTGAGAAAGCGGAGAAGGCGAAAGCTGGATGCAAAGGGAAGCGGTGGGCTGCAGTGACCCTGCTCATTTCCACTGCAGCTAATTCACGCCCGCGGTGGAAGGCCATTATTGTCACTCTTGTTTATTCGGGACACTAATGTGCAGAAACGGCAATTAGAGAGCCACAAAAAGCACTCGGCTGCATGATTTGTCGCCCCCTTAGATTGCCATCTGTGGACCTCTAAACGGATGGATTTGTCCTAGAACGCCTCCCAGTGACCACATGTGAGGTGGGAGAAGGTGCCTCGGGCGCCGGACGCTCAGGAACTAAATGGCCCTTCTGTTCAGGTCATTGTGTCAGCCGCGTGGGGCGTGAAAGTCTCCTGGTTCAGCCCTCAAAACGAGAGGTGGGAAGGCGGCATTTCACAGCTTAAATGGCCGCTGTGTATCCAACGCAGCCAACGATTACACCGCGTGGAAACCAGATTACAATGCATTTTTAGATACGAGGGTCCTGACGGAAAACGTCCCCGCGTCCGTCTGCTCCGTCTCGCCATCTCAACGTCCTGCGGCGGCCTACGATCACTCGCTCCTGCGTCTACGCGCACCTCAGCCGAGGCGCCGTCTGCCTCTTTTTTTCTCCTCCCATCTATCTTAGTGTTTGTTCCAGCCAGAAAATCTTTGGGCATCCGTCCATCTGTCTGTCTGTGGCCTCATTGGCGCTTTAGAGACCCGTGGAATGGATGGAGCAGCTTTAGGGCCTCCCCCAGCTGTTGTTTAGGTATTAAATGCCCTCCAGGGCCAAAAGGAACGAAACTGCATCATGGTTTCTTGTGATGTTTTTCAGGCCAGCTGTTCTTCCAGTGCAGAGAAATTCATGAAAGCGGTCAGTTCCGTGCTTTTGAGTAACAACACGGCCGGTTGGATGGTCGATTTATCGCTTGGATTTCAGTGTAAAACCATTTTAAAATTGGAGGGAGCAGGTAATGTCCCCTCAGCTGGAGACTTATTATTAGGTCATTTCAAGAGGGCTTAAAAGGGTTTTTTTGGATCTCACAGAGCTTTGCTTTATGTCGCTATGATTTTTTTTTTCCGGAGGCAAAAACATGATGTTATATGCGAGCAGCTCCAACAATGTGTGTTTGTGATGAACTACAGCAGATCATGTATGACTTCACGTCTGCTTTCTCCTTTTAAATCAGTTGCCTGATTAAAGATCAACACAAGGCGGAAAAAACATCTGCAATAAATGCCTCAGATAATCATTTAAGAAGAGTTTATGTGAAGTGTTTTTCCACGTTTGACCACTAGATGTCATCCATGACCCGTCCTAACATCTGGACACTGTAATACTGAAATATCTGCACAAATTTCACCCAGCTCTACACACACACACACACACACACAACGTAGTAGTGCGTTGAAATGGCACAGCAGAGACGTACAAGTACTAAACACATCATTTCCATTCCAATTGTTGTCATATAAGTGATGAACTGTCTCTGCTCTGCGTTCAGACAGGTAGGTACCCAGATGCCTGAGGAGGCCCTGAGGATGACGTCTTGGCCCTGAACCCCACCAGTATGTCAGGTAAGATGTCTGACCCGATGACCCCGACACGCTACCGGCCTCGTCGCATACACCATTTATAATGAACTTTGACGTCGCTGAGAGTCACAAAACCCAAACGTGACCTGTTAAACCAGGCTGGAAAGGACTCTTTGCTTGTGATAGACGGGATGTCCCCGCTGCTGTCCTCAGACAGACAGCATGTCTTACCTAACGCATTCACCCAGGATTTAGTCGGCCGCCGTGACCTCGCTGATCCGTCACGTATGTTATTGGCCTCAGCGCAGTTAACGGACACGGGGTCACGTGTGCGCCCAACGTGACGACACGAGTGATGTTTCTGATGCTTATTCTGCTCCAACCTGTTTGTTTTAGCGTCCGACTGTTGAGTCCTTTGGTTTGAGTGTCAATCTGCCGCTTGTTTCACTCAGCAAGTGGATTTTTCCTCTCTCATCTATTTTAGAGCCAGCAGAAAATTGCTCCCCCGGCTGGAAAGACGAGGCCATTCAAAATGGTAATATATGTCCTCCCTCTCAGCACTGACTTTCTGTCACTTTCTGTCAGTGCGGTCGAGCTTTGAAGAATTCAAAACTGTGTCCCAGTCAAACCCGCCAAGCTGTTTCCATCATTTAACCTCTTTCAGAATTTGCTTTAATTGTTGGAGGCCTTGAGACTTATTTTGGTCATTTCTGGGTTTAAACTTTTACATTTTCGGTTTTTCTATTAGAACATGTTTACTTCAATATAAATGAAAAAAAAATACTGAATATAACTGTATTTTGTTCTGTTGTTGCGCATTTCAACAGAATTGTGTTGCTAGGCAAGAAAAACTATGACTGAAGTAAACAAGGACATTTATAATATTACATTAATATATTTTAAATATTTTAAAGTCTGGTGTGGAGTAGAAATCGTCACGGCTCGTTTAAAGGCACATTTTCTTCATCTAGAGTTTCCATCATTTCACATTCCTCATGAACAGCACTTCTTTTTGCTTTTTACAACATTAGACCTTTTAAGCTAAAACGCAACAATGATCTTTCTGGGCTAAAAAAAAAAAAAAATAGACGTTGACGTCACTTGACATTTTACTAACTAACTCTTTTGCGTTGCCACATAATCGCTTCACACATGCAGCGGAAACCTTCCTCTTCACCCTTTTCCTCTGCGCGTCTATAAGCTGCTCTGCACTGATTGGACACTTGTGTGCGAGTGTCCTCGTGGGGTCTCTTCACAGGCGGTACCGTGTTCCTGGTCCCCTGTGGCACAAAAAGATTGCTTTTAAAATGTCCTCACTACAGTTCAAACTGCCTCAATTTAAATGTCACCACTTGTATTTGTTGAGTTCAGAGGACGGCTGGAACTATTTATGTGGCGCCATGTCTGGTGGCTGTACGAGGAAATTGTACCAATGTCATTTTTCTTGGCGTCCCTTTCCACGCTGTGTCCTCTACCACGTCTTGTCCTTCCAGAGAACAGAGTTGTGACTTTGAGGTAATTTAATGCATTCTCAGTTCATTCACAGATGAGCTGCTGAGGAATTGTGCACTTAAAAAACGGTTTAGTTTGAATCGTACCTTTCTGAGGTGACATATGAAGACAAATCCACCTCTTTCTGCATTTGAGAGCGAATTAACGTTGTTTTGTTGATTGTTGGACGGACAGATTCCCAGTTCAAACTGGGCAATCGGTAATCCTGAATTTTCGGGGCCGAGGCGGTCTGAATTGAACCCTACGCGTGTCAGGAGAAACCTTGAATCGGCGAGGTCGTCCCGTCTCAGCAGAGGTCCACAGACTTCTTAACGAGGTCAACGCGGGGGACAAAAGCCGCGCTGGTGAATTGTTCGGGACAAGAGAAGAACGGGTCCATAGTTGTTGTTTTTTTACAGGCTGCAAACCTTTTAAGGACTACAATGACTGGATATATTTAACAAAACGTAGTACTTCAATTTACACCTGAATGGCAAAGGTCAAGAAAACGAGAGCTGCCGTTGCACTATAAATAAAGTCCGATTTGGACTCACTGAAGACCTTTGTTGTGCCTGTTGAACTACGAGCAGCATGCGTTTAAATCTTCTTCATTTGGCAGATTTATCGACAGATAATATCGACAAATTGTGTCAGTTGGGTTACAATCCCAATTTGCGTGAAATATTTAAATATACGATAAATGTATACTGATACACACCAGAAGATGAAAAGTAGAACAATTACAATGCGTCAAACGCACCTACCCGACATTGACCTTGTAAGTGATTCCCTCAGCTTACCCCAAACTTTGAGGGCAAAGGTTCCTCACCCAACGTGTCCTCTTCAGGTAACGCAGAGTAGCCGGGGACATCTGGCAACGCACATCATGTCAACCCGGGGTCATAAGAGATTCCCCACATCCAATAATTATACAGGACCTGCTTTGAACTCCCTGGGACTAAAGTCATCAATCGGGGAGGGTATATATCTGTGCAAAACCCGGCTGCAGGGCCACTGTGGTGAGGAGGTGCCATTCGGATAGAAACTATTAACAAAAAGATGCTTTTAAAGGTGAATCCTGTTCTTTTTAAAAAGACCGTAAACCGTTTTTTTTGGGATGAGCTGGAGACAAGAGCGTAGTATTTATACTCAACTTCACACAGGAAATGCGGAATATTCTTTTTGGACGTCTATTTCCAGACAAATGTTTATTTGATACAAGTGATTTCAAGAAATGGCCTTCAGGGTGAGTAGATAAATATTTAAGCTGGTTAAATGTAACGTAGATTGGGTTATTTTGAAAAGACTCAAACGTATTTGTTTGTTTCTATCTTCTAAAAGTGATGCATTTGTGGCTATTCTGAAAATACCAATATGAATTCACCAGAGAGCTTTCAATCACACGATGTGTTTAATGTGCAGATGTCTCTGATAATAGTGTCTGTAAACCAAAGATTAAAGGTAGAAATTAATCGAGAAGATTGAAATTGAATGTATTTCATCATTCAAATATAACTTGTTCTACACCCGAGTTCACAAAGAAATCCTCTTTTCAATATAGATAGTGAATACATTCATATATATATATATATATATATATATATATATATATATATATATATATATATATATATATATATATAAATTAATGTATTCACTACATATATATATATATATATATATATATATATATATATATTTGTTAACTATTTAAGAAAAAATAGAGATGCACGGTTATGAATTGACATATATATCATAAAATGTTCTTTATCATGATTTCAAACAAAATGCAAAACATGAAAACCGTGTTTAAGGCCAAATGTGCCAAAGACTGGCAACTAAAACAATCTTGTTCAAACACCTTTTCATTTATTTATTTATTTAAACAATAACGATTTCAAATAAATTCTACATTTATTCAAGTATACGTGATTTAAAAAAAAGAAAGAAAAAAAAAAAGTCTGGTTTGTATAAGCGTGGGATCTGAGGCGCGTGGACGTTAATACCGTCCGCTCAGACAACAGATTGTCGAAGCGCTGACAGGCGCTCTGTCTGATGTACGCTCGTGCCGAGAGTTGAAAAACCTCAAGCGGGATTAGTCGCCGGTGAGGACATCACCTCTTCAAAAAGTTAAACTGGCATCAAGGCAGATTTGCCTCACGGGGCCCCGTCTGTTAGCAGCTGCTGCGTGTTGATCACATCTACTTGTCACAAACTCCCACTTATCACATGAACGGGGGCATTAATCCCACCGGTAAGCCCTGCTATTCTCACAGGGTGAACGAAGCGAGCGCTCATTCGTTCCTCTTTCCCTGTTCATCCAGTTGGTTCAAAGGTGGCCGGTGCTGACTTTGTTTTGTTTATTTGTGGTATTTTATTCTCAGTTACTCTCAGTAGCTACTTTAGAGTCATTATTAGCACAAGTTTTAAAAGAAAAGTACTTTTATAAGTGAATCACTTATTTTATATTTTAATCCGGTGCGTTGTTGCATTTCCGTTTATTTTAAATGGTTCACATTTTCATTTTTAGGTACATCTTAAGCCGCATCCCCCAAAACTGTAGAATAGGTCACAATTCAGTTACTTTTAGACATTTCTTCTCATTTGAATTGAAATGAGCTTAGTCCTTACGTTATTTACTGATAAATCCTGTATTTAAGTGTGTTGCGGGGTCGTCGGAGTAGAGCGGGTGTGCTGGGAACCGCAAGGATGGTGGTTCGAGTCCCGGCTGCCCCATGTCTCAAGTCGAAGTGTCCCTGAGCAAGACGCCTAACCCCTAATTGCTCCCTGGGCAAAAATGTGAAGCCATGGGTTTAAAATGTAATGTAAGTCGCTTTGGATAAAAGCGCCAGCTAAATGACCCGTAATGTAATGTTGTGTGCACACTGCGTTTTACTGCACTTGCTCTCCAAAGGGGACCAGTTTGAGCTTTACAAAGGATGCAGATAAACAACAATATCGGACTAAAGGTCTTCTGTAGAATAATTTTTCCTCCTTCACCGCCCACCTTTACACCATTAAATCAAGAGTGTAGTTGCAGTGGAAATTGTATTTCCTCCTCTACGCATTTTTTTTTACAATATATTCAGTTTTCTTAACGAAAATGTGATCTACTGTCTGTAACTCTTGATATCAGTTTGAAATATCTGTAAATGTTTTGTAGCTACACATATGTTGTCAAAGACATAAATATATATTTGACCTTTAACAGTTATTAAGAATGTTTCAAGAGATGAGGTAAATTACTGTCAAGCTTAATTTAAAATAGGTTTACTCTTATTAGGACTATTCATTCATACAGCGAGCATAAAAAGACATGAAAGATTTAATACACGGGTAATATGCACTGAAATTAATCCAAATAAACTTGAAACTTGAAACTTTAAAGGTTTTTTTATGTTACGAAATATGAAATTTTGACATGAAATTATAGCAAATCAAAGTTGCATTTAATGAACTGTAAAATCAAAGCACAGTTTTACAGTCAAAATGAGCTAATGTGCTAATTTATATACATGTTTTTTAAACTTGGGGAAAACACTTAGAATAAATTAAAAAACACAGATAACCCAACCACTAATCACTGTGGGTTTGTGGTTTATTAACAGTAATTTCCTATTGAAATATTTTAATAACTACAATAAACCATCGTATGCACACATTCAAGTAGAAATAAATTCTAATATTTAGGGATGTGTATGTAATAAATACATTTATATTTCATTGATTGAAATGCTGTCTTATGCTAAAAGTTTTAAGGAAGGGGGGTGAAACACTCTTAATGTGAATACTTCACACACTGTATTATAACTAAGACGTATACCACTTTATATATTTGTAGTGAACAAAGTCTCCCGTTTATGTCAACTTGAAAGTCCACCAGAACCCTTCTTCTGCTTATACTTCTTTGTAATCCGGCACACTAATTATATTGATTGTGTCTCTTCTGAAAGACGTGATTTGTGAGCTCGCAGGCCGCCTGCGATTCGGACAGTTCAGATAAGTCCAGCCGGCGGGGATTTTAAAGCCCAAACCGCTCGCGCCTCTACTCAGACTTCGCCATGTGTTCCAGTCTTCTGCTTCTGGCCCGCCTCGATGATCCGTTGCCCCGATCGATGTTCCGGGTTCTGCTTTTGGTCAAATCTCAGATTTGCATAATCTGCAAATCTTTGCAGAAGTGTGCGGGATCAACTTTAAAATATACTTAAAATGCATGAAATAATACTTTTAGATTGAGACTTATTAATTAAATATTGGATTTGTTGATGTATCCAGTAATATATAGTTATGTAGTATCTTCAAATTATATACGCTGAATGTCACAAGATACTAGACTTCACATTCCAACCATCCTTCAATCAATCAAATATCTCTCTATATATAAATAATATATGGCTTCGTATCATGTTTTTATTTAGTTACAAATTGATACTGTAATTGCCATGAATAATAACTATGTTTAAAATATCAAAGTATTTTAACAATGAAAAGGGAAAGCATCCGTGTATATAAATAAGATAATAATCACTATAAACAGGCTAGAAAAATTAGATTGGTCCAATAATATCTGGTTTCTAAAATATTATGCAAAATCTAAAGTTAACCGGAAAAAACCCTTCAGAAAGACAACATACGGAAACTTTGTTCCATTATGGAAGAAGGCCTTATGGATCCCAGCGGATAAATATCCTGCCAGAAGGCTGATCCTGTTTTTATTGAACAAGGAGTCTGAGTAAAGCCAGTCAATAAGTCTGAGCGTGGCCGCTGTCTCGGATAATAGGTGAATTGTTTCAGAACAGATTATGCAATGTAGTACGCAGCGTTCTGCTCCCGTGTCTTATATTACGGGGGGAAATTATTGATTTGTTTTTTTTATTATTATTGATTCTCTGAATCTTTTTTTCTGAGGTCTTACTCAAATAAATTAAACTTTTATTTTGTAAAATTTCATCTTGAAAACTACAAAACCTGATACCTCAATGTATTTTTTAAATAGAAAACCAAAGATCAATTTTTTTATTGTGGTATTCAAATGAAAGCAAAAAAGATATTTACACAACACACAATTAATTACAGCGTAAACATCTTACGAAGAACATTACAAACAAAAATGTTTGAATGTTTTTTTTCCATGATTTGATTTCAAAAAAGTTTTTTAAGAAAATTACTTTTCACTGGAGTTATGATCATCTCTGTCTATGTAGGTGTTATTAGAATTGAAACGTTCCTGGAAACACAGTAAAGAGCTCTGTGTCACTTATCAGCACTCTGCCAGTTAGCGTTGCGTTAGCGGCTAAATAATTGCTCCTGTGTTAATGAACTTTAAATTCCCGCTTGTTAGAACATTCGCTTAGTCGCTGGCCGCAGTAATGATATCACGCACACGAACCCGCTTGGTCTGTGGATTCGGTCTGAAATACCCCGAAGGATGAGGAAGGAGTTAAACTCCCGGGTTAAAGGTCAACTAGTTGCACGAGGTGCCGTCACAGTGTCTCCGTTCTTACTGAGACGAGATCCCTCGTAAAAAAGACTTCAAGTAAAGTTGACTTTTGTCTTGTTTCACAGTTGTGTTTTTTTTGTCCCCGTCCCTGTTATTGGACGCAGGTGCAACTTGCGAGGTCTTAATCTGCATCATGTCCGCTGTCTGTGGCTCTTTGAGGATTTGTGGAGTGTGAGATTAGAGCTCTACGTCGTCATAAATCTCTGCTCCTCCACTCGGCCGTGTGGCGGCGGGTGGGACAGTTGCTACGTGTAGTCTGTGGGTTTGGTGGCTAAAACGTTTGTGCATCCACCTCGCGTGAACCTCTAAGACGTTTTAGTTTTTTCAAATCGGATTGTCCCATTCGCGTGGTTCTTCTTTCTTTTCTTTTTTTTCTTTTATACTTTTCGAGAAACCTACCTATTTTTTCATTTTTTTATTTATTTTTTTATTTTTAGAGGATTCGTCCCTTTTTTCGTAAAACAAATCGCTCGTCTGCGTAACCTTCCATGGTGCTCTGCTGCGGCTCGCCACCATGAATTACTGCATACCGGACATGTACGAGACGGCCCCCTCGGGGATGGGCGGCTACACGGCGCCGGGCAGCGGGGAAACCTGCATGTACTCGGGCGGGGGACCCGGGTACGGGCACCCGGAGCCCCAGCCCCTGCACCACCCTCCCTGCATGGAGCAGAGTGCGTGGCCCCTCGGGGGCCACTACTCCTGCTCGTACGCCGCCGCCGGCCCTCCTGCTTTTAAGAGCGAGTTTTGCAGCATGGAGATCCCTCTCAGTCACTTCCACCACCAGCCGGAGTATTTCCCCGAGATCAAACCCGACTTCTCGCACCTGCAGTGGATGCAGGACGCGCACAAGAAAGGTAACGCCGTCCACTGGCGGCTGTCCTCCGTTTTCCTCCGTTTTCCTCGGGTGAAGGTGCGTTTTTTTTTTTCGGTACGCTGGTTTGAATCGGCGAACGAGGTTGTTTCCGTGGTTTTGTGGTCGTGTGCAGAGAACATCTTTTATGCGTGAAGAACGTTTTGTTTTTTTGTCTGGGGGGCTTTACAAGTGTAAATGCAGGACATAAGGCGTCGCGCGGCAGGTCTCTGAGCGGGACTCACTGCATGGGACGCTCAGAGTTATTGATTTGATGGTGAGGCAACAGAAGGCTGATGCGAGATTCTTAAAAAAAAGGGTATTGATCAGTTTTTTTCCTCCGGTCATTGAGTCTACAAGAGGTCAAAGCATTGATCTCATTAAGCCGAAAGCCGAATCTTGAAACAGGACCAGGTGTTAAGTCAGTTAGTTATCAGTGCTCTCTAAGGAAGCTGATCAGATATTAGGAGTCATACGGATGGAGTCGCCCTACTTTTAGATCTTTTATATGTGACTTTTCAAAGCTCCTTTATTGGAGAAAAAAAAACAGAATTTACTGTGTATTTTATATATATATATAAATGATAGTTTTAACTTTTTAACACATTGAACCACATTTATTTCTGCAAATTCAGTTTTTTATTAGAAAAGGAAAAGAAAGAAATATGCAATATTTTTTTTACTTTCCTTTTTACAAAAAAAGATAATATTTAAAAAGGTTAAAAAAAACATATAAAAATATTAAATATTTAAAAATATACAAAATATAAAAAAATATATTATATATATATATATATATATATATATATATATATATATATACAATTATTCAAATGATCTCCTAATGTAGTACATTCCTGGTCAGCATTAGCTGAAAACATACCATGAGAAAACCCCAGTAGCCATAAAAGGTTCATAACTCAAATCCAGTCTTTTGTATTTTATTTGTTCAAAATGTGATATTAAGCGTTTGTTTTTCTCTCCAGGGTACATTCCAAGTTACCTAGACAAGGATGAGCTGTGTGTGGTGTGCGCGGACAAGGCCACGGGTTATCACTACCGCTGCATCACCTGCGAAGGCTGCAAGGTAACGACCTCGCTCGGCGCTGCTCGCTGCCGCCGCTCGTTGCCCTCGAGGCGCTTCTGACTGTGTCTGCTCTGAAGGGTTTCTTCAGGCGCACCATCCAGAAGAACCTCAACCCGACCTACGCCTGCAAGTACGAGGGCAAGTGTGTCATCGACAAAGTGACCAGAAACCAGTGCCAGGAATGCCGCTTCAAGAAGTGCATCGCAGTGGGAATGGCCACCGACCGTGAGTGTGAAAGCGCCCGGCGCCCGGCGCCCGGTCCGCTTCCTTTATATTGCACTTCAACTTCATTTCAAACTCCCCAGTGGTGCTGGACGACAGCAAGCGGCTGGCCAAGCGCAAGCTGATCGAGGAGAACCGCGAGCGCCGTCGGAAGGAGGAGCTGCAGAGGACGGTGCTGGACCGCCAGGAGCCCACGCAGGAGGAGTGGGACCTCGTCCGCATGGTGACGGAGGCCCACATGGCCACCAACGCGCAGGGAAACCACTGGAAGCAGAAGCGGAAGTTTCTGGTGAGACACCACCCCCCCCCCGCTCCTCCCTCCGTGCCTCCTCGCCAAAAGCCTCCATTGCATTGATTACACCCCCCCTCTCCCTCCCTGCCTCCCTCCCCTCCACCCTTCACGGACTCCCTTTCCACATCGCACCCCTGTCTCCTCCACTTCCCCCGCGGCCCCCTGTGTTAACGCGTCCGTGTGTCTCTCTGTATCTCCTTGTAGAGTGGGGGCAGTTAGATGGACGATGGAGAAAAGCGTGTTCCTCAAGGCGCCGCTAATTTATAGTGGAACCTCTCGTTCTTCTTTTTTTTTATTTTCTTTTTTTTATAACTTGTTACAAAGCAGTGCTCCTCGATCGCAAATACTAACAACTTGCTTCTTTTGTGCCGTTTCATCTTTCTCTCCTTCTGTTTGTAGCTTTTTTGATTTCACAACTCGCCCGTTTTGACTAATTTTCTTTTCCTTTCTGTGAAGTTTAACCGCTCTGCTGATTGAAAGTCTGTCTCAACTGTTTTTGGGGTTTCTGTGGCACGATGAGAAAGCAGAGCGACACAACGTTCTTATACCAGCCTCTCATTTCCCCAGCAAATTGTAATGTATTTAACCTTTCGTGTGCCGCCGATTTCTTTTTCACCCACAATCTACTATCTATTTTTTTGAGCACTTTATTGTAGTCATTGTGTAGTTTTTTTAAAGTGGTACATTTCCATTGAAGACTTCCGAGGACCCGTTTGGGTCCTGAGCTTGAGACTCTTGCCACAGAAACCCGACTTGAATTTCTGTCCTGACGCTGTTCTCTATCTGCACTCTCTCTCATCTGTCCTTTCCTAACATGTTTTCTTTTTAGTTGGCTTGACACGGCTTCTGCATTGAAACTTCACCATTACTGTTGATTATCCAACAGGTCGAGGAAGCTATGCTTCTTAATGAAATAACATGTAATTTATTCTATACTTCTGACCAGAGTGCAGCGGGGGTGAAGGAAAATAAGGTAAATTCAGACCCAAATATCACTAGAACTTAACATCGACATGTTTACGTGCATAAGCCATTTAATCATCTTTACATTATATTAAATCAAACCGCTTAACTCACTTCCAAGTTCTTCCGTTATTTGACTTTGAGAGCTTCATCTAACGTTGAATTGTTCACACGTAATATTAGACCATTGCTGACCTCATTTTATTTATTTTACTCAAACGTGGACAGTTTGAAGACACTGAGCGTCTCTCTTGTTTCGTTTCAGCCCGAGGACATTGGTCAAGCGTCCATGGTCAATACACCCGAAGGAAACAAAGTGGACATAGAAGCCTTCAGTCAGTTTACAAAAATAATCACCCCTGCCATAACCCGAGTGGTGGACTTTGCCAAAAAACTGCCAATGTTTTGTGAGGTGAGTGCGGCAATTTACTTTAGTTTCGTATGGACCTAAAAACAATAGTTTTATAATGTTGTTTTTGCGCTGCTAATGATGCCAAGAGTCCATCATCCATCAGCATTTAATTCAGAGTAAAAACAACACATTTGATTATTTTTAATACAGCAGGAAACAAAATGCCAAATGAGAGTTTTACTTACTTTTAATATAATGTGTAATACTCAACAAGGAATAAAGAGAGCGTTATTTTTTGCTGGTTGTGTTGCACAAACCTTCATCTATTTTAAAGTGGGCGCCTTCTGTGGATGAGCCATGTTCTTCTCCTCCTCCCCTCTGGTCAGCTGCCTTGTGAGGACCAGATCATCCTGTTGAAAGGCTGCTGCATGGAGATCATGTCCCTGCGAGCCGCCGTCCGCTACGATCCGGAGAGCGAGACCCTCACACTCAACGGCGAGATGGCGGTGACGCGCGGCCAGCTCAAGAACGGCGGCTTGGGCGTGGTGTCGGACGCCATCTTCGACCTCGGCGTGTCGCTGTCGTCCTTCGACCTGGACGACTCGGAGGTGGCTCTGCTGCAGGCCGTCATCCTGCTTTCTTCTGGTAAAGCGCCGACGTCCAGATCGACCGGCGGTTTATTACTGAAAAACAAAGTAATGTTGTTTCCAGCTTTGTTCCGTCCTGCACAGATTGCGCCAAACCCCTTTAAAAAAATATATTAAATCCATACCAAAACTACAGTTCAATCAATTAGTCGCCACAATCACCCCGGAGCGGCGCTCCGCATCTCATTGAAGATCAATACTGTTCTGCTGTGTGCTGCGCGCGTGGACACGCGACAGGGGGGGAACCGGCCCATCTGTCTGCGCTTCTTGCAGTACCCACTAGGTTTTAATCAATACAATTATTAAGGCTGAACAGTTGACGCAACAGCATCTTTATATCATCTAGGGCTCATGCTTTACTTGCTGCTGGTGTTTCTAACCACGGTTAGCACCGTAGCTTCCCTCCGAGCCGACCACCTGACCCGGTTAGCAGCGCGCTATTCGACCCGCTCGTTGAGAATAGATCCTTCTCACCGAGACTCTTTCTGTCCTCAGATCGGCCGGGCCTGAGCAGCGTGGCGCGAATAGAGCGGTGCCAGGAGGAGTTCCTGCTGGCCTTTGAACATTACATCAACTACCGCAAACACAAAGTGGCGCATTTCTGGCCCAAGCTGCTAATGAAGGTGACGGACCTGCGGATGATCGGCGCCTGCCACGCCAGCCGGTTCCTGCACATGAAAGTGGAGTGTCCGACCGAGCTATTCCCTCCTCTCTTCCTGGAGGTCTTCGAGGACTGACCCATGGATTTTTGTGTGTTTGCGTGCGTGCGTGCGCACAAGTCAGGTGGTCTCAGGGGCGGAAGCAGCCGGAGGCCGTGGCGATGAACTCTCTAGTAGCACTACTGAGTGTCCCTTCTTGCCATAGTTTAGGAGTAGCTCTTTGGTGTCGTTTTGGATGGAACCATTCCTCACAGTGCGGGTACATGTGAATAGCGTTTTGTTTTTTTTTATTTTTGTTTCGTTGTTGTTATTGTTGTGGATATAACCGCTCACCTCGGATTTTACTATAGTTCCTTTTTTTTTTTTTTTTTTTTTTTTTCCGGTGATTGTACAGTTGACACAACGGTGATTTTATCAACTCTTGCTCATTCATTAGAAACATGCAAATACTGTGTTGCCCTTCTTTTTCATGCTGAACGGCTGCTCACCCGATTCAGAGACGCGTGTAATTGTCAGAGATCCGTCAGCCTTCCTCCCTTCTACTCGACTTTACTGGACCCATTGGTTGGTGTGTTAACTGTCACGTGGTCGGTCATCCACACGGCGAGCGTCTGAACTGTGCCTCACCGTCCCACTGTGACCCGACCCGCTAACAGCCACACTCGCCCTGAGGGACGCCGGCTCACGGGGCCTCTGGGGGTCCGCCGCGCCGAGCGCGAATGCAACAGAACAGCAACACGAGGCAGAGCTGCAATAAACCTTTTTTTTTTTTTTTCGGTTGAGATAACTTGTTTTGATGTCGCATCTAAGGGGCATCGTACACTTGTGACACTACACAACAATGCCGGTTGAAATCCTCAAAACCCACAAGTTCAGTAAAGATCAAAGGCCCGATGGCCCGATCTGTTTGAATCGTGAAGACTACAAAAGCTTGCTTGTTGGCATATGAAACTTTAGTAATCAATCAATTGGTTAATCAACAAATCTCTTTGGAATTTGCAGGATTGGTTGGACAAAACAAACCAATTTGATGACATCATCTCGACCCTTAGGAGTCTGGCGTTTTTTCCTTTTTTTAGATATTCGCGTCCTAAAGCAAAGCTGTTGCAACGTCTGCTTTTATAGAAAGAAAAAGGCGGAAGGAGATCTCGCTTCAGTAAATGTTTTTTTTTTTTTTGCCTTTTTATCTTTGCAACGACCGTAGAAACCGTGAAACAGTGTTTCCGACATTAACGGGATCGCAGCCGCAGCTTTAAAACGGACCCGTTCATCATTCAGCACCATCTAAAGCACATCATGACACCGACGTCAACAAAAGACAATCATGCAGTGCTCGTTTTTTGTGCAAAGAGGCCACGCGCTGTGCCAAAATCCAGTAAAATCACAGCCCCCAATTCATCGAAACACTGACCTCATGGTGCTCTGGTGTAACTAAATGGGTTTTTACATGCAGGAACAACCCACTGATTACTGTACACTAACACACACACACACACACACACACACACTGTAAACACAACACGCGGGTGAGACGCCACCACTGTGACAACCAGTGGCATCCGGACGCCGAGTAAACAGCAGCGCGGTTCTTCATCAGCGAGGTGCACTCAGAGAGAGAGAAAAAAGAAAGAACGCAGCGCTCTTTCCTTCCTTCTTCGCCAGGATGTTGTTCTCTTGTTGTGGTTCTGAACGCCTCGCTCAAGGCGCTGTCGTTTGCAACGTGACAAACATTCGCTCTGTATATCGAGCTTCGTCGAGCTTCACACTACTCCTCAAAGCGGCTGGTGGTTTTGTCCGTTTTTTTTTAATTTTTTTCTCTTTTCTGTGAATTGATGCCTTTTTTGCTGCAGTGTTTGAATGACCTCATACGCACGCACACACACACACACACACACCTTGCAAACTGCACAGGCTCTAAATGAATGCACAGACAATCAGAGGGGGAGGAAGGGTGGCGGGTGGTGGGGGGGGCTCCCCGGGTCTTATGTCCGGGCTGCGCTCAGCCAAAGCTATTTGGGAAAGTGACATTGGCCACGTTTACATGCACCCGTGTTGTCAGACGGCATGTCGGGGGGGTGGGGAGGGATGTGGGGGGGATGTGGGGGGGTGTTGTCTGCTACGGTGTCACGATCAAGGGTCTCCTTTGTTTGTGCCCGATGGACGAATTGAACGATGGTTTGGATTTCTGCACAAGCGGCGACCAGAAACGCTCCCGAGTGTAGAAATAAATGTGGTCCCTTGTCACAGCTGGTGGGGGCTGGTTGCACAGGCGTGGGTGCGGGACATCCAATGGCCCCTTTCAATCAAATACTCCAGGGATTGAACTCAGGAACTAAAGGAGAAGCGTGATGTCACGGGCTGCATTTGTGTGCACGTTGCGTTTCGAGGACAAGCCGAGCCAATTAAATCCCATCTGACATGAAGTGAGGACTTTGTTTGGGACTTCATCTCATTTGGGTAATGTAATGTAATGAGGCGGCTGCAGTGTTGACTGGTGTCCTTTTGTAATGTTGTTGTGTAACATCGCTGTTGGAGAAACGTTCTGTTAACTTGCTCTTTCTTACCTCTTTTAAAAGAAATTAAGTCTACACTTTGAAGACTAGTCTCAGGAATTTGGCTGGATGACTTTAACCTTCAACGACGTTTAAAGAGATTCCCATTCTGAGCCTCGTGCTACGTTAGCAACCGTCAAACGGAATGAAAGCTGAGGCTCGAGTTCGATTCGATAAAGGGAACAATTCATTCTAAAGCCGCATTTATTAACTCGCAACAACAAAGCAAGCTCACGGACACGCAACCATTTGGATTATTTGCACGTCCTGCAGAAACCGAGCAGCATTAGCATTATTATTGATTAAAGGCTGGAGGCCCCAAAAAGTCCCAAAAGTCCTGCTTTCTTTACCATTTAGGGAGTAAATTAGCTTGATGTTGGGTAGTTTTATCAGCTTTCTAAGCTCCGTTATAGCTTAAACTTTAACTGTATCCATGGTAACAGAGATGGGTAATCCTTGTCGTGGGTTTAAAACTACAACTACAAAGTCCACATTATTTACAGAGTTCACCATATGTCCAATATCTGTCCCCGCCAGCAGGAATCATTTCATCATTACACGTTTCCAGCGCTCTTCTATGTAGCTTTTATTTGCAAATTGTGGCTTGTCGAGTATTTTTTGCAATTTCCATCCGTAAATTTAGCAACGAGAAAAACCGACGCTGCGCAGGCGTTGTGGACCAAAGGGTCAGTGGACCAAGAAGTCTCCCATTCAAGGGCGGCGAGCATAAAATTGAGATGTGGTCAGCGCGCACGTGTCAACGGGGGCCGCGACTGAAACCGAAGACACCGACGTCAGTCTAGAATGTGTTTGCTTCGATTCCCTTCACACGTGTTCGTGTTCAGGAGATCGGCCTTCCGCAGAATGAAAATCAGTTTTAAAGATCGGAAGATAAACCGCGTTTAGTCATTTCAGTTCAATCTCAAAGGCCGCCGTTTTTTATTTAAACTTCATTCAACCCTGTTGAAGGAATTAACCGTTATTTTAAGCGGCTAGCTACCGAAAACCGTACCTCAACGTTCACCAAAGTAACCTCGCCACATGGTGGCAGCACCTCATGACTCGAGCAACGCATTATTTTGGTCTAGTAAACGCGATACGGCTGAATCCGATTAATCCGACGTTAAGTCCGACTTGCGACGGGACACGAGCATGAAATGCTCCGTAGAGCGGAATCAACAACCTTTACGTTAAAGGAAAATGGACCCGTCATTATTAGTGCAGTATTCTCGCCCCCAGCACCAAATATATACTTTCATTTTATTTTTTTAGCAAATCTCATCAAATAAAGTATTACGACTTAGTTTGTGAAACAAATGTGAGGCCGTATGAATATATTGAGTTTGTCCAACTGATTGCTGGTGCTTGTAAACATGGTCAATGGCGCCCGCCGGTTCACACGATGTTGGCCGTCGCTGTTTTCTTCCCCCCCCCCAGTTGTGTTTCTCTTTAGGTTCCTCGGCGGGAGCAAGTTGCACCACAGAGAAGCTATTTTACAGTACAAAGGAAAAAGGATGTATATTTTCAAGATGCAGATTTTTTTTACGGATGTCGCTGGCATGACATGGACATGGTGTTGTTTCAAATAGCGCTGGAAGAAAATGCCATTGTTTCTTGCTCTCAAACCCATTTCCACATCTCTGCGAAAGACTCGGCAGGATGTTGTGATTCTTTATCAAAAATGAAATCACAATCTGTGCAGCTTAGTTCTACTATTTAAAAAAGAAAAGAAAAAAATTAAAAATAAAGAACTGTAGCTCGACCTCACTGTTCGCACGAAGCAGGCAAGCTGAAGACTTCAAAGTGTGTAACCATCATCAGAGGGGAAGCGGCCCGCTTCTCTCCCTCGTGTGTTTCAGTGTCTCCTTGTTCAACCCCAGGAGGAGAGAAAGGAAGGAAGGAAGGATGCAAGGGAGCGAGACGAGTTGCGTGAATGTGTGACAGCAAAATGGAAGATGAGAGAAATGATTCTGTTTGTAAACTTGCTGTTTTGCACTCTGTTTCACTGGAAACGTTTCCGGCGACCCATCGTCCGGCTCCGGAGGGTTCAATGCAATTAATGTGAATAAGCTCTTGAGAATAAAGATGGTTTTGAGAGAACTTGGTTTCGTGCCTTCATTTTGTTATTGAGCGCCACGATTACTTTTTTAAACATTTGTTCCTTTTTTCGCCGCATTATATTTTGACTTTTGTAATTTTTTTAATTACTTTCACAAGTCATTTTTTCTGCCATACTATCCTACATTTTTCTACCTCTTCCACATTCTATACGGAGACTATTCCGCCACAATGTGATTTTTCACTTTTTTCATCCTACTGTACGGCTTGTTTGGCCGCTTGTTGCCATCTGCTGACGGATTGTGACACTACCACAATTAATCACCGCTCATCTACTAAGTTTGGATGGACAACCTGCAGCACATCATGTTATGTATAAACATTGCGTTATTTAGCCATTTATAATTTTTCCCACTGTGTTCCTCCACTGCCACTTTAATGTCTAATGCTTTGTGTTTTTTTTGGTGAAGACTGCAGTGAGAAGATGAGTAGTGGAACGTTTCTACTGATGAGAGTTTTGAATTGATCGCAGGAAACGGGAAACCTTCCACTTAATGAGACGAGTAGGCCACGTGTCAGTCTGCTTTATTCTTTAGTATTAATCAGTATTAACGGTGAAGACATTTCGCTCGTTTGTTTTACAGCTTTCCAAAGTCACACGAGGACGAATTATTTCATACTTTTAAAACTCCTCGTGGTTTGAACAGTGCTTCGCCACACAAAAGGCGTTTTAACTTAAACGCACGCTGGATTGATTATTGATTCTGCTCAACGTAGTGACAACAACACACTTTCAAATAACCACTTCACAAATAAACTGCATTTGTAAAATTTATTTATATAGATATATTCATCTATGCATGTTTGTATGTATATATTTATATAGAGATCTATGCATACTGCAATCCTTTCACAACCACACGTCGGTAATGTTTACACAATGACAGAAGCTCTGGATTATTCGAAGGCCGAGAGACGACGAGATGGCGTCGCAGAAACGTCTCGACATCAGCGACTCGGCATCAGCGACTCGGCTGCCACCTCGAGCCTCTGGATTACAATCGGTGACGTTACAATCATGATTCGTGTGGAGACGTCCGTCCTCTTCGCCCCGACTGCTCATCGCGAGTCTGTGCAGCTGCGCACAACGGAAAAGAGTGAGGCGCTGACAACGTGTCCTCTAGGACGCCAGCAGCTCAGCGACTCACTTCTTTTCTAAAGAAAAAACAACAATCAGAAGAAGGAAAATGGGTCTACGTTGGTTCAGCGCAGCGTTAATCAGCGCTGACGCTTGGGCTCGAATCGGGGAGCAGCAGAGGGACACTGATATGATTCGTCTCAATGCAGAACGACGGCGTAAACACAGCAGGTCATCATCTGCAGGGCGACGCCTTCTCTTGCTCCCCCAATTCCTTCAGATTCAAACAGCGTCCTATGATTTCTAGGGGACTCTTAGCAGCTTTGCGTCCACGTTTTTAACGTTTTTTAAAGAGAACTCTTAACTCGACAGTCTTTCGGTGTCTGCCCATCACATGAGCACAGCACCTGTTCCGACTAATGAAAGTATACACAAGATACACCGCTGGAACCCAAAGAAAGCGATCACATATTGCACTATGAAGGCAAAAAAACACAGAAAAGTGCTTCTAATGTTTGTACAGCTGCAAACATACAGCGAGACACACACACACAAACACAAGGAACATGTACATCAATCAGTGTGTCTGTATGTATGCATCACCACCACACAGGCATTTACGCCCTACAGTACAATAACATCTAATAGCCCCCCCCCCCCCCCCCCCCCCCAATTCTTAGGGCACATAGCGGGGCGCCGAGTACTGGAGGAGAGCTTCAGGAATGGACCTTGAAGGCCAGCAGCTCCTCCGAGTGCATGTTGTTGAGCGAGCGCAGGTCGGGCAGCTTGAGCAGCAGCTTGGTGAAAATGGCCGACTCGTTGGGGTGGTTCTTGGTGATGAGGCTTCGCAGGGCGCGGATCAGCGTCTCCTGCAGGGCCTCCACAGAGTTCACGTTCTCGATGCCCGAGCGGTCTGGGAGGAAGGGACAGCAATCAATAAATCTATTCCTTATTAATATTAAGTCATTTTTCAAGCATTTTGGCATCTGAAGTGTGAAGATCTTTGGGTTAGGGACAAAAAGACAGATTTCCCTCTCAAATGGCGAAGGGCAACTAAATCCTTAAAAACATTTTCCTGTTTGTGTGGATTTTTTTGTGGTTTGTGTTTTTTTTTTTTACCAGGTATTCAAATATATATTTTGCTCTGACGTACGTGTCGTACTCGCTTCACCAAAACGAACCCACCTGCAGACACCAGAACCACGGCGGTGAAGAGGCTCATCTCCTCCTCGCTGAGGCCCAGGTTGACGAGCTTCTCACTGAAGTCAAACATGGAGTTGAGGAGGTCCCCGGCGCCCATGGCCCTCAGAGAGTCCACGCTGTACTTCTTCCCACCCAGAAAGGTGACCGTGCGGTCCTTCACGTCGAAGAGGGACACGAAGCGAACCACCAGCACCTGCGGAGCGCAAAGCCAGCGCTGTCGGTCACATGGTGGTGCAGACCCCCCCCCCCTCTCCCTCCCCCCGTTGGCCTGAGCTTACCTCGAAGGTGCCCGCCTTCAGCAGGCTGACCTGGTCGTGCTGAGTCAGGTCTCTGAAGCCCGGGATCTTCTTGGCAAACTCCACCACCTCCCTGACGGCGGGGGTGAAGCTGTGGGAGAACTCGTCCCACACCTCGTGGCCGGACTTCTGAGGGTCCACGCGGGGGGAGGTGTTCATGGGGCAAACCTGAGGGCACATTTCTGTTCACTTAGGGATTTAGGGCTCACTTCCAACAGTTTCTCAAATCAATGCACTGAGCGCGTGCGTCACGGGATACATAAAGTTTTATTTAAATTCGCAGTATTTAATTTTTCTTTCTCGCCTCCTCGTATCTCACCAGATGCATTCGGTTGCCTCCTCTCCACAGGGGGGCGCCGTAGGCGGCGTTGGCGTGGCCCTCTGAGGCGTCAGCTCCAAGAGCGTAGGCTGGACAGTGGCTGGCCAGCCTGAAGGGGCACTGGGGGGTGGAGACGTCCTGACCCTGGGGGTGCAGGCTGGAGGGCGTCTCCTGCGCCGCCATGGCGACCGTGTTGTGGGGCTGGTGGCTCCAGGCCGCCTGCCGCTCCTCCGTGCGGTGGTTAGTGACGCCTTCGGCCGGGACGCTCCTCGGGGGGCCCGTAGAGGGCGGGGCCTCGGGGGTCAGGCTGCTGCGCTCTTGGTTGTACATGAAGGTCTCCTGGTGGGCCCGGGTCACCGAGCCGATCACCTCCTCCTCCCCGCTGTCCGAAGCGCCGGGCGAGGCCGAGCTGGCGTCCGTGGCGGGGGCGGCGTGCTCTGAGGTAGGTTCTGTGGCGCTGGCCGGCAGAGGTTTGCCGATGGGTAGCGTCTGGCTGCTGTTCATCATGTTGTTCATGGCGCTCTGCATCTCCAGCAGCATCCGCTGCTTCTCACGCTTGGGGATTCGGCCGAAGCGCACAGCTGAACAGGGAGGAGAGAATCCGGCCGGAATGAGAAACCTTTGCGTCCTACTAAGAGTCGGATCACAATGAGCCACGTTATGATTTGTTGTGGTGCAGAAATCACGCAGTTTGCTGCTCTGCAGGAGTACAGAGCTCGGACCTCTACTTTAAATCTGTCCTTCAGGAGTCCTCATATGGGGACCATGAACATTATGGAATAAATATTCACATAAATGATTATCAATGATAATTAGGAAATAATTAAATATTGTATTTAAAAACACTTAAGTCATAGTTCATCCTGCCTGGTTGCACAATAGTTAAAAAGATGCCAGTTGTAAAATGTATTTGATCATTTCACAATTGCATTATTAAATAACTAAGTTAGTTCGTTTGTGTTAATGCATATGAATCTTTATTTCAAAAGTTCTTATTCATTGATTTTGGAAACATATTTTGTTGATTTAAGTGTAATACCAACTTGCTTAAATACCCCTTAAAAACACACCATGATTGGTGCTGATATGAAAATAAAGTACAAACTCTGAACTTCATCTTCATTTAAATAAAATCACATGGGTTTTTTTAATGCTTTTGCGACGTTATTATCCTTCGAATTTTTATCCCTATAAAGCCCCATCAAATGGAATAAAAAACCAGCGAGACGGTGGTTCCTGCGGACACTCACAGTCCCTGGACATCCCGACCAGCAGGCACTTCTTGAAGCGGCACTGCTGGCAGCGGTTCCGGTTGATCCGCATGATGGGGCAGCTCTCGTTCTTAAGGCACTTCTTGTACTGGATGTTCTGCTGGATGCTCCTCCTGAAGAAGCCCTGTGTGTCCACAAAGACAAACGGCGCACTGTGAGGACACGAGAGGAAGCGAGATTAGACGTGCGCACGATCATTCTGAAGACTGCTACTCGCGTTCCTGGCCGTGAAGAACTTCATTGAAGCAGCACAGAATAAACCGACCAACCCATCAGTCTGAAGTGTGTGTGTGTGTCTGTGTGTGTGTGTGTGTGTGTGTGTGTGCCACTCCTCCGAGGCGCACTCAACCAGGCCACACGGCAACGTGACGAATGAGGAGGCAGCTGATATTAATACAGGCAGAGTGAACTAGTTTCATGGCGCCGTGCTGATGGCTGCGCCTGCTGCAGTGACCCACTTCAGTCACAGCCCAAAGTCCAGTGTGCCAGTGCATATCAGATTCAGTGTTTGTGTGTGTGTGTGTGTGTGTGTGTGTGTGCGTGCGTGTGCGTGCCGTTGGGAGGGAACCGCCCTCACCTTGCAGCCCTCGCAGGCGTGGACGCCGTAGTGGAAACCAGAGGCCACGTCGCCGCAAACCTTACACAGCAGCACCAGGCCGTTGATTTCTGATTAATAAGGAAACACATAGTTCATCTGAAGGGGGGGGGCAAGCTGGCGGGTTTTGCATGCGTCAGCGCCTTAAATAATACCACTCAATTCCCAAAGTGCGGCGTTTGTAGAAAGCACACAAGGCGAGCGGGGGGGGGGTGCGTCTTACTTGTGATGCCACATTTTGCCGCGGAGGAGGACGAGCGTCCGCTCTTCGGGGGCCCCGGGAGGACTTGGCCCCCGCCGGCGAGCGCGGCGTCCGCCTGCCGAGACGGCGGGTGGCGGCCGGCCGGGGGGCCGCGGGGCGGGGAGGACGACTGGCAGCTGCCGTTGGAGGAGTCGCTGTGGCACGACTCGGGGCCAGAGCCGGAGGTGGAGGAGCTGATGTAGGCGATCACGCCTCCTGCTGCGCAACAGAGAAGAGGAGTCCAGTGTGTGCGCGTTAGGGGCGTGTCCCTCTGCGGTTAGAGGTCACTTCATCAAATGTAGCTTCACGCTGCGCCAAATACTCCAGAAAATAAAACAAAGGTTTAATCTCCTGCAGTTTGAATTTCCCAACAAATACATTTATTCCTGTTTGCTTAACGTTTCAATTTTTTTTCCCCCAATGTAATTAATTGAAAAAGGAGAATATAATCTGTTTAATTCCACTTTCTTTATTAAACAGATACAGATGCATACAGAACCTAAATGTTTTCTCTTTGACCTCTTTTTTGGATGTTAGGGGGGGGGGGCTATTAAAATCCCTAACAAATCGTGCTTCCTTAATCCTGATGCGTTATTATTAATCCGATCTCTCCTCTGCTATCGCGGCTCCAGACGACTCGCTGCCTCCGTCACCGGCTGCAGGCGCTCCGCTCCAGCTGTGGAACCTCCGAGCCGAACATCACGACCGCGACCCCTCGACCCTCGGCCCTCAGGATCCGACAACCTCTTTCGCCATCAACACGAGCTGAGCTGATTTCTCCCCCCTGCCATTCTGTGGTGATTAGGTAACAGCCCTTACATAATGTCAGCTGCACCGGGGTGTGCGACAGGTAGTCAGGTGGCAAATCAGGTATTGAACATAGACGAATAAGACTATGAATAAGACGCTGAAGGGGAGCGGGTTGGGGGGGTTTTTTGGGACTTTTTCTAGACATTTTTTTTGCAGACAAGACAATAAAATAACCCTCATTGTGTGTTAGGTAATATGCAGCATTATAATAACCTCCCGGTGTTATGCCTGACAAAACGGGAAGGCTTAACTTCCAGACATGTTGATCAGAATGAAGACCTTTGTCCAAATATCAATCACACAGAATATTTCAATTAGTAATGCCACTGACAAACCCCAACAGTTATTAACCCTGCTAAGTATACAATTACCTAGTAGGGCAAAATTGGCAAAATGCTTATAACTAACAATAAGAAAAAACAAATGTGTCCTCTTGGTTCATTTAAATTCGACAAAACTGTCAAATATATAAATGTGGCATTAGGATCACGGCGGAAATGTAAGACTTTCAACAAGTACACGTCAATTGTATACCTGCAGGTAACGTCATATTACCTAAGAGACAATAAAAATAGTTGTGTCCTGTAACTTGATATTGGAAGCAGTAGCATTAAGCGCCCTACACCCCGAAAAGCATTCGTTTTCTTTGGAATATTAACAGTATTACTCAGTATTATTACAGTATTGGATGTATTTCGAGAAAGAAAAGTCTTTCGCCGCGTATAACGATGTAAAATAGACTAAGATTAGTGTATCCCATTGGCCCTGAACGCGCCGTGACCATCGCGCCCCCCCCCCCTTTTTTTTCAACCCGCCCCCACGTGGACCGAGCACATCTTTTTCCCGGGGAAAACTGGGTCAGCGCGAGCCGACTCGGAGCTGTCTCACGTGTACCCGCGGCGAGATCACACGCCATCTCGACGGGTGGAATTATGCAACGGCCGCGTCACGGCGCCGCTCGACCAATGAGCGGCGACGCACGTTGAGCGTAAACACAGGTGCACATGGCTGGACGGACGGGTCCATGTGAGAGGAGACGACCGCAGTGGAGCCCGGAGCCCTCCGCTCGGGCAATAACAACAGCCCGCTACCCCCCCGCCCCCCCATTAACCCAGTTTAACGGCACAACACTTTTAAAATGCTTAAATATCAGTAGTCGGAATATTAAAAATTACGTTTAAGCCACTTTCACCAGACGCAGATTTTAGCTGAAGATAAAGAGGCGGCGGGGACCCTGAATTAAAGCCCGTCAAAGCCCGCTGCAACAAGCTGCAAATGCCGTCAAATGACTTGCGGTTAAAGCGCCACTCACCAGCTTTGGTGGACTCCATGTCCTCCTCTTTGAGTTTCGGGGGGGGGATTTCCTCCTCCTCTGCTACCTCGAAGCCGAAGCCGTGTTTTCTGTTATTGTGTTCAGCAACTGGAGAGTCGCTGATCGATCCCGGTCAATGAAAACACACTTTACGACAAAGCAAACACGCCGCGGCGGCTTGTCAGAAAGGAACCGGCGAGGACGAGTTAATTGCAGAGCCGAACCTTCTGCCTCAAAAAAAAAAAAAAACGCAGCGGTAAGTTTTCAAAGACCGGCTTTAAAAAAAAGGACAGCTTGTGTCTCCTCGACGCCGGAAGTCGCTTTATTTTTAACAAAAGGGGTTCCAGAGGAGGAAAAAAAAGACCCCTCTGCTCGTCTGCTCTCAGTGTAACCGAGCGGTACCTACAAACCCGCCGGCATTCATTCACACACGGTTCGGGGGAGAAAGGCGGCGGTGCGGGCGGTCCTCTCTGCGGCGTGAAAGACGGAGGATCTCCGCAACGACCGCTGGGAGGTGGCTGTGCGACCACGTGACCCGCTTCACTGGCTCCTCCCACCGGCGTCGATGTAACCCACTGACACACTTCCACCCGGGCCGAGTGAACCCAGCAGAACCTGCCAGTGTCACAGGTCGGTCTGCATCCAGGGCGGCTCTTCCAGGTTCGGCGTGTTCTATCATCTGGATTTCAGTGGTAATCGGATTATATTTATTTGTTTATTTATTTTTACGCTGGTTACGGGACATTTCTGCGGGTACATTTTGCCAACACCCACAAAACTTTACGGGCGTGTACTCAAGATCAAAACCCAGCTTGAGTACCCGTAACGGCTGAATGCTCCACAGTCTCTCCCCCCTTCCTCCCCCAGCCAGTGTCAGTGTCTGTTGGTGCTGTGCAGGTGGTGAACAGTGGTTTCATCCCTCCTCTTTCAATCAAAACAGCTGTCTGCCGCTGGAATCGAGGTCAACGACGGCAGAGGTTTTTCGGTTGGGTCACCATGCGCTAAAAGAGGTTAAAATGCTTCACAAACCTGGGGGTAATTAATGGTAATTTGATCCTTTTTTGATATGAAATATATTGAGTAGTGCCGCTGTAAAATATTTGATATTCAAACAGCATCCTTAGGGGGTTGAAGCGTCACATGGATGCATCATGATGCATCATGATCCATCATCCATTTACAGCCCAACAAACACCAATTGTCCCCTTTACCTTCCCCTCAGTAAAGCATTTACCTTCAACATCAGAGCAATAAATATTTAATATGCATGTGTTGATTGCACAATGTGAGAGGACTTGGCAAACACAATATCTGCCGATGTGTGGGTACCGTTTAAGTAATAATACGTACTAGCAGATCCATCCTTTCGTGATTTATGCTTAAAGAACAGCACAGAGTCCTACTATTTTGTGGCATTTATACACCTGCAGGAGGATAATCCTGCAGGTGTTCTGCTGGTTCAGGACTGCTGGCACGTCACGTAAAATGCTGAACAGACTATAAGAAGGGCCCCCGACGCCCCAACTGCTCATGTGTTTGTACATGTGCACAAACACAAGAGCGTTGTTTGACTTTAGGCTCCAATGAAAGGATTGTGTCAAACAAGCAGGTAATCATCATGTCATTTTAATGTTTCGTAATACAACGTGGCTCGGCACAGCTGGATTTGATATTCATGTAATTGTGACTTTATAGAATAATGTGAAATATTAGTAAAGGAAATATTAAAGGAAATATTGATGAAGCTGAATTTCAAAAACCAGTGATCAACTATCATATTGCGTTACACGTCACGATGCAAATAGATCACTTTCACTTCCTGTTACTATCGAATCTGACTGAAAGATTCATTTGAAATTAAACAAACTATGGATGTATTCATCCATAGTTTGTGCTGCTGTTCAAATCAAGATCACTCAGCAACAGTGACGTTCCTCTCGGCCTTTTACCATATTTGACATGTGTAATATGAATGTCATTTTGGTTTCACAAAAACAGCCAGATTTTCTTCCTGTTTAATAGATGTAAAATAAATACTCTCTGATTGAAGTAAGAAATACAACCAGCTGATTGTTGAAGTGCTGCAGCTGATGTTAACCTGTTGGAGAAGCTAATAATTAACTTAAAGGCTCCATAAAAAAATGATTCTAATGTATTAACTCTGCAATCAAACTCTATTCTTACTTCATTATCAAACAGGCTAATAGACATTTTATAAAGAATAGGTCATGTATACTTTTACATATTCATAAAATATTGATTGGAGTGGTTATTCAGTGGCCCCATTTTGTTGCATAGTATAATTCAGTTAGATAAAATATAATTGAATTAGTCAGGCCTAACAGTAAAAAGCTGATTACAAAAGGTGTGGTTGTAATGTTTTAAAAGCTTATTCAGAATATTTATTCTGTAGCGTTGCATTTCAGTAACGTTCAAAACAGGAACCAAACATCCATTACCCGATTTAAAACTTAAACAAATGGAGGCATTTATCACTCATAATTTATAAGAGTCATAAATGATTGACTCTGGTTATCGCACTGTTCATGGGGTTGTTGATGGTGAGAACATAGAAATGAGAAACCGAATCTTCACGTTTGGTTTATGGCAGACAACAGCTCACTAACACCTTTGAGACTCGACGTAATCCTCTGCCAGAAGCGCCGATGCAGGAGTAAAAGCCTGTGATATTTATTGAAATGTGTCGGGTTTGAAGTGGTTCTACTGAAACATGCTCCAGCCTGGAGGCTGTACATCAGCAGGTATCGAAACAGTTTCAACCAAATGTCCTGAAAAAGAATGACGTCGACTGACTTAGTTTGATGTTCTAGTTTCTCATTTAAATGCCACTTGTGAGTCTGTGCATACGAAGTATTAAGGGTCAAGAAAAAAAGAAAAGTGGAGCATTCATTTAATAGTACATGATCAATTACAAAAGTAGTTAGAATGAAGCTTCGCATTAATAACGGTGTTCAAAGACTGCATTTATTCTAACCGCTGAATGAACCAGACGCAGACGGCAACGTGACCATAAAAAGGGCTGTTTTATTTGTTTGAATGTACAGACGAGCTCTAACGATAGCGGTGCAGCTGCAGGGTGTTGCGCCTCTTCCAGGCAGCACGGCGAGAGCCTCCGATGGTCAGGTGGAACTTGTGGCCCTTGCCCAGGCCGCGGCTCTTCTTTCCTGCGGAGGTCAGGCCACGCATCTCCCTGTGCTTGTGCACAGCCTTCGTGATCCATTGGGTGTCTGGATTGCGTCTGATGGCCTTGTGGAAGATGTCGACCAGAATCACCTCGAAGAACTTGTAGGTGGAGTCCTCGCCCACCCAGTAGGAGCTCAGCACTCGCAGGCCTCCGCAGTGACGACCAGCACGCTCCTGGGAAATAGAAACACTTAGATTGTGACTGGCCATACCAGTAATGTAATAAATCCTGTGTAATAAAAGGTAAATCAACACCAACAGTAATATGGCACCACTGTAAATGTAATTTGTGCTTTGCTGGCTCAAAGTGGCCAGAAATGTGACCATCAACACTCAGAAATACTTGAAGGCAAAAAGATCACACATTGCATAACAAACTGATCGCAAATCATATTTAACATTAAGATACAGTCAACTTAAAATTCAGTTACATTCTGACATGAGCAGCTTTGATTGCTCTTCAACTACCAAACTGAGGCTCTTGTGAGACTGAACTAAGCTGATGATACCTGCAGTATTCCCTTTAACAGATAGGAAACAAGTTCATTTAAAAACGCCCTGCGTTGATCCATCTGTGCTGTAGGGTCATTGATACGCATTAAATACACCAAGTTTTTGATTAACGACGATTAACAACAATAAAGTATGTATGAAACTGTGACCATTTCTTTAAAGCTAAATAAAAGGATAAGAAACAAATCTATTGACAAAGTAATTCCTTTCAGTGAGCCAGGTTGAACACCAGGACACTGCAATCCCTCAGATAATATTCCTTTTGTTTATGAACCGTTTATTCAACCTCCGCTCCATATGCAATTTGTGTGTATCCAGCAGTGGTAATATAACCACCATTGACATTGAGAATAAAACAACTTGTGGAGACACAATGTTTAGTTACCGAGTTGTACTCTAAAAGGAGCGACTAACACCACTAACAGTCGATGGCTATTAAAGTTAAATTTAAATTATATCTAAATAAATACACTTTCTGCTGTATGCAAACCAAGCATCAGGTTATGGTCTGGATATGCGATGACTACACAGAACTATCAGAGGAGCAAACAATTGAAACATAAAAAAAAAAAGGTTTAAAGCATAATGGGTTGAGTTTCCACACAACTCAAGCACCTTTTAACTGCTGTGAACCATCCACTTGAGTGTATGTAGTAATCAGCATTAACAAAAATTGACCAAGACGTCAAAGGATTCCAGAACTGTTAAATCAATCATAAGAGCCCACTTGTGCAGATGTAATGGCCATAGAAAGATAAACGTACCTCAGCAGTGGACTGCAAGCTGCGGGCAAACTTGATCTGGTTGACACCATGGTGCACTGGCTTGCCGTAGGTAGCACCTTTGGGCACAGGGCGTTTACGGCCACCACGGCGCACACGTACGCGATACACAACGTAACCTGTATGCACAAACACACAATATCAGCAAGAGGGACCCTCGCGTGCAGGGACCGGCATCTCCGGGGCTCAGCGCTCACCCTGCTTGGCCTTGTAGCCCAGTCTGCGGGCCTTGTCGGGTCTGGTGGGTCGGGGGGCACGGTGCAGGTTGGACAGCTGCCGGTACTGCCAGCAGCGGACACGCAGAAGGAAGCGCATCACATCGGACTGCTTCTTGCGCCATAACTCCTGCATATACCTATATGCTCCCATGTTGACTTATCTAGAAACAACACGAACAAGTATGTTAAACAGCCATCGACTCATCACCTGCTTGAAGTGTAATATCTAAATAGTAAATGGGATTTATAATGGATGACATGCGACCAACATCTGCAATGATGTTTCAGAGATGAGCCATGACAAGCGTCTGCAAGCAAAATCCTTTTATTAACTGCGGTCTTACTCAAAGAAAAGCATGTATTTAAGGGAAGTCCTATGAATCTAAACCCATAACAGCGCATTGGTTAAGACCCCGGAGAATCCGGACAATACGAGTGTTTAGACGACCTACGTGTTAAGCACTTTCAGACATGATTTCACATACTCGGTAAACTGCTTTAATACAACCTAGACGCGTATCACATTAAAAACCGCATAAATGAATGAGTTAACGCAGTGAGGATACCCATGCTGGTTAGATATCGAGCTAATGCTAACGTTAGCCACGTAGCTTCTCACTCCAGCTACAGGGAGTTGTAGTCGCGGTTTACGTTTACCCTGCAATAGTAAACAGTACGCGCAGTTTTAGAGAAGTGTTAGAAAGCGAGGAGTTCAGGAATTTGAGAATAAAGTAAAGACACAATTGTAAAAAAAACATTTGCCTCCTAATGCGGCCGGTAGTTAGCGGCTAACAGATCCGGCTGCATCACAGGAGCCATACAAAAACCCGCTAATAGTCAGTGTTTTTAACAACGTTGTCAGAAAATAATCAAGGCGTATAAAGTTGGAATTCGGTCTCTTCACAACATCGTAAGCCATACAGACAGATGAACGGACGTTCATGATGATTTAAATGGATTGCGTTAAGTAAAAGGTATAGAAATACTCGCTTACATGATGGCGTACCAGCCGGAAAGAGAGAGAAAAAATACCCAGCATGCTTTATGAAAACGACGATGACGCCTTTCCGCTGTTGTGCTCATGGGAAATGTATTCTTTATTTGTTTTCTATTTCTGTACGCTTTTGAAGATACTTTTGTGGTTACTTGAGAATCAAACACGCGTTGTAGGTTTTTAATTAGAGGGTAGTTCAAAACCAAATGCGCTCACAGTGTCTAGAGAAAAAATATACATCTAGTTTCTAATATATTGACCGAACATATTGTAATATATTGACATATTGTCAGAATATAAACAGAACTAACTGCTTCGGTACATATGTTTTCGGAACCGATGTATTGTGTAATATTATTACACAAATTGTATTTCGTGTCATATGATTACTCTGTCGCTTCTTCTTATTATGATTATTGTTTCACAAACAGCGGCTGAATGGAATACCGTCGCGCATGCGCATTGGCCAAAACAACTCAGCGTTCGCAGAGCTGAATGGACGCACCGGCTATGATGCTACGTTTAAAGACTTGATTGACAGCACGTTATCCTCCGGAATCCAAGTAAGCAACGTTTGCCATTCGTACCAATAACCAGCACCAGGGCCCGATAGGTCGTTGCTAGTTGACATGGCTTGGAATGAGTGGCTCCTGCTAGCCTGTTAGCTAGCCAGGCTAACGCTGTCATAGCTAAGTTCACTCACGTTAAAGCAGCGATGATAAATCAAAGTTTGTTTGTGGCTCTTTACAGGGGGACCCGCTTGGTAGTGTCAATGTTAGCACAGCATATCTACTACATCTCGCACGGTACGATAAACACTGACATGCTGACATTGTAGGCTCGCAATGGGAAAAGGCTGTAAAGTTGTGGTGTGTGGCCAAGCAGCAGTTGGGAAAACTGCCATTCTGGAACATTTGCTGTACGGAAATCACTCTGTGGGTGAGTACTGTACCAGGGACACTAGCGTAACACAGCTGCACTGTTATACATCATCTGATTTCACAAGGGATCAATTTGACCTTGAGATGGTCGACTATGCTCTCGTTGAATATTTCTAATGCTTGTGCATCATCCCCGGTTTGCTGAAAATCCCCTTTTCCTGAAGTCTGTTGTCTTCACTTCCCAAGGTTCCGAATCCAGCGAGACCCAGGAGGACGTGTACGTGGCCTCGGTGGAGACGGACCGCGGCGTGAAGGAGCAGCTGAGGCTTTATGACACCAAAGGCCTCCACGATGGGCAAGACCTCCCCAAACACTACTACTCGGTGGCAGACGGCTTCGTGCTCGTCTACAGCGTCGACAGCTCCGAGTCCTTCAGGAAGGTCGACACGCTCAAGAAGGAAATCGACAAGTCCAGAGATAAAAAAGAGGTGTGGCTGGTTCAAACTACGTCTTTCTCCCCGCCGTGCAGTGAGTTTATGTTGGCAAACATCAGCACCTTGGAGAACTTCATTTTGAAGTGTATGAAATATCAGTTCAGTTCCATTAGTTCAGCTGTACATTCTTCTACCACCTTTAGCACATCATGGCGCGGACAAATACAATTTAGAGAAACATAAAACAAAGATGTAATTTGCATTTATTCATACAAAGCAGCTACCTTTGCATGTTGGCCCTCTGCAGTGTAAGTGTGTGCAGCAGTTTGGTGTAACGTGATGGAAACCAGTGAGACTTAATAACATGTTGACCCCGGCTATTTAATAAGACCCACATAAATCGGATGAGAAATGACAGCTAGTAGCAGTTATCACGCCAGTCCAGACTACCCTGGTATTATAAAATCTAAATGAATCCCTAAGCAGTGCGACGTGGCTGTATCCGTCCCCAGGTGACGGTCATCGTGCTGGGGAACAAGACGGACCTGCGGGAGCGGCGTCAGGTGGAGCAGGAGGCGGCGCAGCAGTGGGCGCGCGGCGAGAAGGTGAAGCTGTGGGAGGTGAGCGTCACCGAGCGCAACTCCCTCATCGAGCCCTTCACCCAGCTGACCAGCCGCCTCACGCAGCCCCAGAGCAAGTCGGCCTTCCCTCTGCCCGGACGCAAGAGCAAAGGCGCGTCCAACGACATCTGAACCTCGGGCCTCCTCCAAGCCTGGTAGCATCTCGCGATTTGCGTCCTCGTCCGGTCCGTCTCGTGTCCCCCGTGCGGCCCGGCAGCAATAATGTTCACGGTGCTGCCTCTGCTTGTGGTAATGCGCGTCCAGCCTGTGTGATCTGATAGAGATGCTACTTAGAGCTGTAGAAGCATCTCGTCGAGAGGATATTTATTTACTAATTTATTTTTGTCACTTTAATGAGCCGCATTCCTTGACTTCTGAAAATGTAACGGATGTCCCGCAATGTTTTGTGTCCTTAATGTCCCAAAGTAATAACACTTAATGTGCTGCTAGTGAACAGAGTTAGAGGGACTGTAATCCTAAAGTTTTCTCTGCTCTGTAACCGTCCTAAGATTCACTGAATAAAATCGTAGCCTCTTCATATTTTTATCTTCTGAAGTCTGTGGTGATCAAACAAAGTGCGACGCTTCAGTTGGTCATGTTTAATTCTTAAGGGAGAAAACGGACCAGCTTTATTATCGGTACAGAACCCAAATCACAATTAATACCTAAACATGTCTACGTGTGTTAAATAGCTTTTCAGGGTCAGGCAAACACCAACTGCACCCTAATGACTGGGAATCTAGCAGGTTTAATATTAATGTCCATCTTCAAAAGCAAGAGATAAAAATTCAAAAGGAGAAAACACTAAATGCATAATTGCCCAATTTGATTATTTGGGCTGGAGATAACTAAAAAAAAAAAATTTAAGTTCAGGAGTTAAGGACTTCCAATCCCCAGATAAAAATCCCCCCCCCCCCGCCGCTGCCAGGAACCGTACGACGCCCCCACATCCCCGAGTCGTCCAATCAGCACCTGCGCTGGGGGGCTATGTGGCGTAGCGCTTGGTCCACTGCTTGGCTATCCTGTCGTGCTCGGGCCTGTTTGTTGTGTACTGCGTGGCGATGCTCCCCACCAGAGGGTCCGCTGGGGAGGGACAAACCAAGCGCATCAACAAGAATTCTGGATGCTCCTTCTCAACACAATAAAAGTTGAAAAAACAGCTAAAAAAAACAAGAACACCAACCTCGCTTCTGTGCGATTATTTGTGGGGGGATTAAATACATCACCCACAATGACCTACTAGAAGATACTGATTCACTGTATGGCAAAATGCCTGAATGATAATCACACTTAAGCATTGCCCAGCCTTCCCTCACGGGGTCGTCATGGTTACGTCCATCAAATACAGCAGTTACTGTATGATTACTCAGCATTTGTTGGTCATATACTGTAAATGAATGACTTCTGCTTCAACTCGCACACCTCATTGTCCTGCCTGCTTTTCAAAAGTTGGACTAAATGCTGCATCAGTAAAAAAAAAAAACATTCAATGAATTATTTTTCCAGGCCGTCTGCACTATGCTCCACCCTCGGTCTTCAATCTGGAGCCGTTAAGACTTTAAGGCTGCGCACCATGCACCAGAGTCAGGGAGGAGATCCAACCAACGTTCTTAAAGTCCATCATATATGACGTGACCTTAAAGTGGAGAGCTGCTGATACAACAGTAACAGTAACACTCTTACTAAAAAAATCCCCAAAACATCTGAAACATCGGCACGCAAAAAAGGTGATTTTTTTTTTTTAAAGCCCAAAGCTTTTGTGTGCGTGTGTGTGTGTGCGTGTGTGTGCGCGCGCTCTCACCGGGGTTGCAGTCAGTGAGCAGGGAGCAGATGGACAGCAGCACCTTGGAGATGGTGAGGGCGGGACTCCAGTTGTCCTTCAGGATGTCCAGGCAGATCACGCCCTGGCTGTTGATGTTGCAGTGGTAGATCCTCGTGCGGAACGTCACCTTTTGAAAGAGCAGCTCGACAGATGACATTCACGCTGAAGAGAGTTTAGATAGAAGGGGCCCGTGTTTATGTACATTTCTTATTTCATCTGCGCAGTTTGGTTGCGACAGCTCCTCTCTAGAAGGGAGCAGATGATCCCACACAACAGAGGCGAAAGGCCTGAGGAGGCCTTGAAAAGCACAAACGCGCCCTCTGGTGGCAGACGTGAGAAGGACACCTCTTCACCACAAAGGGCAGCAGGACGCCGCTCGGCACTCACCTTGGGGGGCTTGAAGGGGTAGTCTGGGGTGAAGGCGATGTCCAGGAAAAACACCCCCCCCTCGTACACGGAGCCGGGGGGGCCCAGGATGGTCGACCTCCACTCGTAGACGTTGTCTCCTTTGGGGCCGGCGCTGTCGGCACACAGAGAGCAGTTATTCTCCACCGTGGAAACATCTGCTGCAATTGTGCTAAAGCCTGATCTACTAAATCTGCAAAATGATTAAATTATGTCCATTTTTTCCCAGTCGGGACTCTATCCCAATCCTAGTTATTCTGTTAGTAACTCATTAAAACAACAATTGCCCGTGTGAGTCATTATGTCCTCCGTCGGTGGAGACAAAGCCGAGGACTACAGCCGCTTCACCAGAGCCTCCGCTCCACCCAGCGAGTCACCGGCAGCTTCTGGAACAGCTTGATGAAGCGCTCTGAACTCCACCTTGTGGGTTTTGACGTTTCACGTTTTTAAAAACGATAAACCGGCCTCTTCGATCCCGTTTAGGGGAAAACAGTGAACACAAAACACGGCGTCCTGGAGAGTAAACGTCAATTAAGTCCACGTTTGTCTTTGACATTTCCAGCTGATCGTGAAAAAAAAAGTCAATTTATAAAAATTAAAAAAAAGTCTAAATTGACTGAGAAACCAAAGCGAATATGCATTTTTTTTGTATATTACAGCTATTATTAAATGATAATCTATAAACCTTCCTGCGGAGGAGCGCCGAAGTACCGGTCGCACCCCGGGGACTCGAGCAGAGACCCCGTAGAGTAGGTGTCGTATCACCCCCCCCCCAGACACCCCCGAATCAGCCTGACTGGGATGGACAACAGAGGCGTCTCATTCAGGGACAGCTTCCTCCCGCCTGCACACAAAGGAGACGCAGTGCTTTGTGGTAGGCAGGAATACGCCACACTCTCACTTGTCCTTCACTTCTGTGGGCGGGGGGGCACAGACATGGGGGGGGTGGGGGGGGTTATTCTGCTCTGTGTCCACGAGTGCTGCCAGAAGCCTGCTGACATTTTGGCTGATTCATTCTTTAGAAGACTTTAACCTTTCAAACCAGCAGTGACCGTGACCCCCCGCCTCATGCCCCCCCCTCCCCCTCCCTCAGTAGACAGAATGCACTACGATGACAGCGCGGGTATTAAATCATTCTTGAGGGGGTGACCTCCCATCGCTCCACCTCTCGTCTAGGCAGCCGTGTCAGCAGGCGACACCTCCGCCCGTTTCCGTGGCGACGGGAAGCTGTCGTCCGCGTCACACCGGCGACGTCCTCACAGCGGAGGAAGGGAAGCCTACGCCGAAGTTTATTAGCAAGCAGACTTATTTTCTATTGCTCTCATATCAAAGTAAATGTCTTCAGTTTGTCTCTGAATGTGTAAAAGCGTCTCTGGGCTCTAACGAGACGCTCTCGTTAACACTCCTTATGCTTAAATCAAGCGCTCCCTTTTGTTTAACGATGCCTTTTACTCCCAAACCAGAGCGAGTCACACACACACACACACACACACACACACACACACACACACACACACACACACACACAGTATTGTGATGACAGAGAGAAACACTGTAATAAGCAGACTGATAATGACTCCACTCCACAAAGAGTCCCGAGGAGACTCGATCAACAGCAGCCCCCCCAATTTAATACAACGGCAATGAGCCTACAAATGTGCTTTATGAGCGTCGTGCTGGATGATCATCACATGGTAGCATTTGTATTCCTTCACTGAAAACAAGTCATGCCTTCGGTCTTACAAAATAAAAGCAGAGTTAAAACGAAAGATCCATTGTAAGGATGCTTCAAGTAGAGAAAGATTATTGTGCAAAAAAGTTATATAGGAAAACCAATAGGAAACTGGGACGGGTACCCGTGTAAATAATCATTAAAAACAAATGACGGTGATCCTCCCGACTGACAGATGATCGCGTCACTCGAGTTCACGCGCCGGGAGAAAAGTTCTACGTAAACTGTGGTGCAGCCGTGCTGAGGAAGATGTGGTGTTCTGTTGGGACAGTATTATTATTACCCAACTACATCAAACCTCTCGAGTGCAGAAAGCGAGCCAGACCAGAGGGAGGTGTTGAGGTTTGTACCTGCAGCACAAGAGCGAAGCCCTCTGCTTCCCCTCTTTGTGAAGCAACAGCGGCCGCTTCCTCCTCCGGGGGGGGGGGTGGGGGGGGATACGGAGAAAACCTCTGCAATCCGCCGCCGACGGCCCGTGGACAAGAGAACAGCCCCACCCTGCCTAGCACGAGAGAGCCTGACGTAGACTTCTCATAACCTCCCTTCAGCCGCCATGAGCCCCCCCACCTGAACCCCTCCACCCCCCCCCCCCCCCGGAATGCCAGGAACCCGCGCGGCACTAGAGGGCAACGTCTAAAAAAGGACACAGAGGACGGCGGGGGGGGGGGGGGGGGGGGGGTGAAGGACAGAAGAGAATTAAATGTCAGGAAAAGAGCAATAAATAAAGAGAGCCGGGCGAGAGAGAGGGAAATAAAACAGGGGGGAGGAGGGGGTGGGGGGGGGGGGGGGGGGAGTATAATTGGATTTTTGATGAATGACAGACGAAAGGCTTCAGCCTCATCGCGCTCACAGAGCGAAAGTTTGCGCTGACGATCACGCCGGTCAGCAGGAGTCTCCTCCTCATCCGTCAGTGTCCATCCGTCAGTGTCCATCCGTCAGTGTCCATCCGTCAGTGTCCATCCGAAGAGCGAGGAGAACAAACAGGAAGTCCCCCCCCCCCCCCCCCGTGCTGAGTGGAGGAGGGGGGGGGGGGGTGGACAATGTGGAAAGTTCAGTCCCACTCGCTCTTCAGAGGCTCAGCAACTTCCTGAAATCGCTGAGCAGTGTCGTGTTTTTTATTAGCTTAAAAACAAAAAGGAATCTGTTCCGTTTGTTGGATCCACTTCTAGCCGAGGCCTTTAATACTTGGGGGGACCAACAAAGACACCATCTGCTGAGAAGACACCCTGATTTCCCAGTTTGACCGACCGCGTGTGTGTGTGTGTGTGTGTGTGTGTGTGACGACGACGCTCCTTCGCTCACCTGCAGTTTGGCGGCGGATCCAACGTGATGTCGGCCAGTTCCTTCTGAATCCTGCAAAGACGAAAACCAAAGCGCCAGCGTTGGAAAAAGCAAAAGCGCCAAAAGCGGACCGGACCCCGTTTGGGTCGGCTTGGGGATTCTAAGGCATTCTCCTACGCAGCTGCGTGATAAGAGGAGCCGGCGGGGGAACATCTCACCTTTTAGCGCTGGTGGAGAGGAGCTTGGAGGTCTTGTTCATGCTGGCTTTGCTGTCTCGTTTCTTCGCGGCGTTCTCTTCCTCCTGCTGCTGATGATGATGCTGATGCTGAGTGGACGACGAAGAGCTGCTGCTGGTACGGGAATCTTCATCCGACATACCGAGCCTGAGATGGGGGGGGGGGGGGGGGGACATTTAGAAGAAGAGGTACACAAGCAAAACCACCCCCATGGGTCCAGAGTAAAGATGGAGAGATGGATGGGGGGTGCAGCCCTGGATCCATTACACCTGAGAGTTGTCTACAGAGACAACGGAACCCTCTGCCGGTGGGTGGCGCGGGACCCGGATCAGCCCCACGTCGCGCCAGGTGTCACACCTGTACCGCGAATAGACCGCGCGGTCCTCACTAGCCGCCCGCGCGACCCTCGTCGCGTTTCTTCAGCGAGAAATCGAACTGTTCTCCACCGACCGTCTCCCTGTAATCCCCGCGACTCCATTAACGCCCCCCGCGGGGAAATAGTCTCCCCCCCCCGTCGCAGCCAAGCGGATCTCTCTCCTCCCCCCCACAAGAAAAACACTTAACACCTCAACAATTTCGCGGCGATTGAAACTTTCCCCGGTGGGGGGGTCCCGCTGTCAGCCCGTTTCTAAACGCGTTCAAACCCGAACCGCGCCGCTCACTTTGTGTGTTTTCCTTCCTTTAAGAGCAAAAAGCCCGTCGACGCGCAGCTGATCTCGGATCAGTCACAGGATGGAACGAGTCCTCGCTGCCCTCCTCGTATAGGACGGTGACGGTGACACCTCGGTGGTCCTCCCCCCCCCCCCGACGTGTCCTCTGAAGGGACACGCGTCGCGCTAACCAGCCGGGACACCGTGACGCGAACGTGGAGTATTTGGTACCTTTCTTTGTGTGTGTGTGTGCACAGCCTGCGTGTTGTGCGTGCCTCTCCGCCGCCTGGACGCACCGCTGTCAAGTCGCCGGCGGTGCAGAGAGCTTCCACTTCCGGTCATCGGTCTAACAAATAAAAGCACACGGGGAAAGGGCAGGCGGTGTCGTGGTAGAAAAGATGGGGATCGAGTTTATTTATATAGCAGGAAAGTCTGTGCAGTAAAAGCACGTCAACGTAAACCAATTGAGCATGAATGATACACACAATTAATAGGAAGCACGAACAAAACTTGCTAAATACTGCGGGCATCTATATATAGATGGGTTCACCTTTAATCATTATCAATGTATCTTTATGTACACATTTAGCATGCATACAATTTATAAATCAATGATGATAACATTAAATGCATAATAAAATAAATGAATAGTAAATCCTCAATTTGCTTTACTTGTATTTGTTGTGAAATTATCGTCATATATGATGCAATGATTCTGTGACTAAAACAAAATAGGTAGTTGTCTAGTCAGTTGAGGCTCGGCGCTTTTATTTTGCCGGGTTTCAATAGTCTAACTTCCGGGATTAACGTGACGTGTCAACAAGAACTTGACGCTGTCGCTGGACGCGTGCCTCTCCTCGCCGGAAGTGTCGGTCCAGCAGGAGACAGACGTCCTCACATTGTAATCTAGATTCATCATTCTTATTCTTTGCTCTTAATTCACAGCCAATTTAACTTAAAAGCTAAATGTTGGGCTAATTTGTGGAAACATGGCAGCAAAACCATTATTAGGAGGGGAAAACTGTTAATTCATGACTTTTCTCGAGAATTTATTAGTTAAAATATTCTCAATTTTGCTCTTGCTGTATCGAGGCATTTATACAAATTGCATTCTGATGAATACTTTCTGTATTTAAGCATAATCTGTGCAATTTATAAGCCAATCAAGTAGTGGAAACTTTGGAAATGAATGAATGCTGGCTACTGTTAGCCATTAGCTAGAGTTACTTTCCAACACTAAAACATGGAAACCAAGAGTTGAGTGACAGTTTTAAAAGGACATTGTTGGGCCTGATAAAGTGGCCTGATATGCGAAGTGGGTTGTGCATTAAATAAACATTAGATTAAGTGTTTGCCATGAGAGATAGAGCGCCACTTTTCATCGCATACATACTGCAGAATGTTTTCACGTGGTATTCACCATAAGCAAATCTAGTTTAAGGGCCATCAATTAGCCTGATTGACACATAATGTCTTCCAAACTGTGCATTCTGTAGCAATTATTTAATGCTAGGTGGACGAAACACATAATTATATGCGCGCCTGTTATTTTCATGTAGTGTTTTCAACAGTTTATGTTATTATGGCGAGGGCCACGTGGGTCCCTTGAGGGCCACGGGGCCTTTGAAACAGCATTTAGACCTTCACGTCGCAGAATTCAAGATACAAGTTTATGGAAACAGTTTGAATGAATTAAATATGACCATTTGTACTAAGATGCTGTGCAGTGTCATTATTGTATAATGGGGGTGTTTAACGGGAACGTTCATGCAGAGCTGGGTATTTAAAACGCTGTTTAGGTCACACTACGTGGTTTGACATCGTGACCCGTTAAGCTCGAGCGCATCAAACCCGCTGCAAAACACGCGCGCGTCCTTGCGCGCACCTTCGTGCCTTTTGGATTCCTCAGACCAGCTTCGCTCCCATCGATCTCACCATGTGTGAACACGCATCGGTGACTTCTCCTTCTCCCTGCAGTGTGTGAGGGGGGGTGGATGAGAATGAAGCACCCCCCCCTCGCCCCTCATTCCTCCTCCCCCTCCTCCCACTGACGCGTCCACCATAATTAACTGTGTTGCGCCACTTCGTCGGTTTTGCAGCGTAGTCAGAGACGAAAAAAACCGCAGCGGCGCCTCGGCTCGAGTCCGGGAGGAGCGACGTCAACAAGTGTGAGTTTCTTCATCGGTGTTCTCACGACACGCGCGCGCGCGCGCGCACACACACCTACACTTACACGTCCACCCACACACACACACAACCAGTTCGTCTTACAGCATGTCCATTATTCTCGTTGGACTGGCAAAGGGCATTCTGGGAAATGTAGGAAACATATCAATGATTGAAATACAGGTCAATGGGCAAAAGGCGTAACATTTCTCTTGAGTAACGCAAAGCGGTGACTGTTCTTGTGCTCGCTATCTGTTAAATATCTTGTTTGTGCAAGATAATTGTTTGTAATTGTTTCCACTTGTGTGACAAGATGATCACTTGTGATAAAACAAAGTAAATCATCTGATATCAAGAACATCACTTGAACGAGCTCGTGCAATCCTCCGCACGGTAAACAATATTTTGTTCATGCAAGATCATCATTTGTTCAACCTTGTGCGCAAAAGAAATGAGCTGACGTCTTGTTTGTTCAAGATAATACTTGTTTTCAGCTGAAAAGATCCACATCTTCTGCAAAGGAGATTCAAAAATGAGATAACTTCAAATAAGGTCTAAAATCCAAAGGTCCATTTGGGGTTTGAAATGAATACACCACCCGGGGAAATTCTCTCAGCACGGTTCAAATTAATTTTAAAACACTTTGAGGATGGATGTAAAATCAGAGAAGAACACAATAAAATAGATTTATTCCCTGGTTGCCTCATCTGATCCGATTGTTAAATAGGATGTGAAGTCTCTTCAGCAAAGGCAATGTCACAACATGTACAGGTTTGTTCTAAATGCTCATCTGATTCTATTTAGCAGACTTGAAGGTGTTGATTTAATGTTATAAAATAGGTCATATTTCATCATTTGAGAAGCCTTCTGCAAGCTTTCATTTTTGCTTTGCTAGCAAAACAACATCAGGGGCAAAATAAGCTGAACATGACAGCGAATGGACATTTACAACCAGGAAATATGTGCAGCCTGAAACCATTTTAACATCAATCCATATTCTAACCAGCAAACACCCCATCACTCCTGTGTGTGTGTGTGTGTGTGTGTGTGGGCGCTTCGGTTTAAAATGTAGGATGAAAACACACAACACGACCTGACAAAGTGTCTCCAGCGAGCGCGCAGCACTTCAGGGGGTAAAAAAGAAAGAAATGGGCCTGATGGGACAGATGGAGACACCGTTCCACACTCCGCCCTTTAAAAACAAGAGACTGAGACGCCGTCCGTCACATTACAGCCAGTGTTTAATTGGGTATTCAATGAGTATGTTTTCTCACAAGGCATTAAATGTACAGCAAACTACCACTATCGTCATACGTGGTGATGGGACCACTCCATGCCGGAAATAAAACGCCACATGACCACATGTCCGCCGCCGGAAAACACGTGTCCTGATGCCATGCACTAATATTGACCATTAGCTGTAAAAACCACTGAAAGAAAAACAAAAATAACAAATGCACTCACTCTGTATGATCCTTTTACATGAAGCCATCACATGGAAACGGGAATAGCACACGCACGCTTTTAGATAAGAAGACGACGACGGTGGCGACGATGTTATAAACAATGCAACGACGATAAGAACGACGACGACGACGACGAGAACAATAACAGTATTAAAGCTTTTCATGACCATATCAACATTCAGTGTATTGGAAAATACAATCCCAATAGACTCTTTGTATAAAAAAGAAGCTTTTCAAGTCAGCATGGAACAAATAACAGTTCGTTTCTCTGGGGGTTTTTTGGGGAGAGGAGGGAGGAAAGGAGGGAGGAGGGGAGGGGGTGACAGGAGCGGCTGTGCTTCCATAGATTTCGGGAGGACTTGTGTGTGTGTGTGTCTGTGTGCGTGTTGGGTCGAGCGAGGGGTCCTGGAGGTCCTGCCGCCGGCGGCGCCGGCGCTCTATGTGGCGTAGCGCTTGGTCCACTGTTTGGCTATCCGGTCGTGCTCCGCTCTGTTGGTCAGGTACTGTGTGGCGATGCTCCCCACCAGAGGGTCGGCTGAAACACAGGAGAGATCCAGGAGGAATGAGACGCGGGGTTTAAACACAACGTAGAGTAAATTAGGTTCAAATATAAAATGTCTTTTCTAGCTTGTTGTTTTTTTTTTAGTTGCAGGTGTCTCCAGGGTGCAAAGAGAGGAGCAGACACCTTCATTATAGACGACCAGCCCCATAACATCAGCACACAGCAGCCTGGATTCTCTCTGGCTTTGTTAAAAATGGGAGGTTACCTTACCGACAGGACAGCCCCCCCCCCAGGGGGAGACCTGCTCGTGGGGGCCCTGTACAGGGTTAACTCTGGCATGGCGGCGGCCCTTTCCCGGGGGGTTTGATTAACTGTCACTCTAACCCCCCCCCTGCTTTAATGAGCTCCATGCCGATGATCTCCACCTCCTCGCTGGGGGGGGCGGAGGGGGTGTAGCAATTGGGCTGATTTGATGAGGCAAGAGGCGGAAAGAGGGGGAGAGTGCGTGTGTGGAGTTTGGAGGGTACGGCGATAAAGCGTCTTTTGTATCGCACTTTAAAGGAATCGCCTCATTTCATCTCGCCGACATCTGAAAACGTGGCGGAGGAAGAGGAGGAGGAGGAGGAAGAGCTTTTCTCATTTTCGAGAGTCTACACGGCAACGTTATCAAAGAGCCCCCCCCCCCAGAGAGGACCCGAGCTATCATCAGAGGTCTTCACAATCAGCACTATCACCCCCCCATCTCCTCCCCCACCATTCACATGTGCAACAACCCGTCATTCTTCTTCTACCTCTCCTGCTCCGCCGCATTTCTCCATCGCTCTTTCACTCCGAACCTCTGAACCGCTGTGATTCTGCGCTTTTGCCACCTGATTGTTTTACTTGGTCGCGCCAGCAGAGATTACCTGCGTTGGCAGCGGAGGAGCAGTGACGGCTTTAACAGGACTATAAAAGACCAGAGTGGATCTAATTTGCTTTAAAGCCGCCGGTCCTGGTTCAACATTGATTCTCGGGCAGTGAAGGGAATATCAATGTTTGCAAATGCTGATGCTACAAAAAGAAACACGCTGGAATATTTAGTTTTATGAACTTAAGCTCCCTACCTTTTCTTACTCGATTTTTACTCATCAAAAAATGACTTCCGTCACTTTCTTAAATCAACAAGAGGGTTCTTCACTCCGAACCGATTTTCTTTCATTTCAACCCGGCGATTCAGTTTGTCTTTCATGGGAAATTGTTTTTGGTCATAATTAACTGCTGAATATCAAATAACCTTCCCCCGAAAAACCGTTTAGTTTCAGGAAGTTAAACACATTTTTTTTGGAATATATATATATTTTTTAATGTTTAGTTTTTATACATCACGCGAGCGCTATGACCTTCCTCTTCTACTGTGTAGAGTTTGATCCCACCACATGTGTTT